GACTCATGGCCACTGCGTATGTGTCAGAGTAGAACTGTGCGCCACAGGGTTTTTAATGGCTGATTTTTTGGAAGTAGATCATCAGGCCTTTCTTCCAAGAAGTCTCTGGGTGGAACTGAACCTCCAAGCTTTCAGTTAGTAGCCAAGCGTGTTAACTGTTTTCACCACCCAGGGAAAAGCAAATATGCTTATACTTTTGTTAATTGTTCTGTTAAGTTTACATGTTCCCTTTTGATGTTCAGCAATTATAGAAAAGGCAATTTGCATTATCCCACAACTTCCCACCTCTTCTCTCTTCCCCTCCCAATTTGTTTTTTTTTTTGTGTAATTTCTATATTGTCAGGACATATAATATTTACATTTTTTCTGTCATCTAGTTTTCCACATTTGTTTTAGTCCTAGTTCTATAGTTAAATATATTCAATTCTCACCTTTAGTCCCCTGTCATAGTTTTCCCATTTGATTTGCTTAAGTTTGTTCTCTAGTAGATTTTTTAAGAAGACACATGGAAATAATATTCCCTGAGTTCCTGCGTGTTAAAACTGTTTGTTACCTTTATATCTGAATGATAATTTACTGACTCTTAAATCGTTGGTCACACTTTTTTCCCCCTTAAGGACTTCAGTTGTTTCTCTACTTTATTCTCTCATATAACCTGTTGCCATCTAGTCGATTCTGACTCATAGTGACGCTATAGGGCAGAGTAGAACTGCCCCATAGGGTTCCCAAGGAGCAGCTGGTGGATTCGAACTGCCAACCTTTTGGTTAGCAGCTGAGCTCTTAACCACTATACCACCAGGGCTTCCTGTCATATAACCCCCAAAAAACTAAACCAAACTCGTTGCCATCAAGTCAATCCTGACTCATAGCAACCCTATAGGGCAGAGTAGAACTGCCCCATATGGTTTCCATGGAGTGCCTGGTGGATTCAAACTGCTGACCTTTTGGTTAACAACTGTAGCTCTTAACCACTAACCCACCAGGGTTTCCTTTTGTATAAGAGTGGTTCTTAAATGTAGTCCTTAGACCAGCAGCATCAGCATCACCTGAGATTTGTTTGAAATACAGATTCTCAGACCCCACTCTCCCATTGCCACTGAGTTGATTCCTGAGTCAATTCAGACTCACAGCGACCCTATAGGACAGAGTAGAACTGCCCCCATAGGGTTTCCAAGGGGGCTGCAAATTTTCACAGAAGCAGACTGACACATCTTCCCCCTGCAGAGTGGCTGGTGAGTTCCAACCACTAACCTTTTGGTTAGCAACAAAGCACTTAACCATTGCGCCACCAGAGCTCCACGCTAGACCAACTGAATTAGACACTCTGGGCATAGAGCCCAGCAATCTGTGTTTTAAGTAGCCCTCCAGGTAATTAACTATATATTCTCATGTTGTAGTGATTCTAAAGTTGGCTTTTTTTCTCCTTTGTAGATGACTTGATGTTTTCATCTGGTTGCCAAAAGAATCATTTCTTTATTTTTGAAGTCTAACTGCATTACCAGAATATGTATCAGTGTTGCCCATTCTGGGTCAGCTTTCTTGGCACACATATGTGCCATTTTCATTTGTTTCTGAAAATATAACTTGAATTATATCTTTAGCTGTTTTTCTGTTCCAATATTTCGGTTTTCTTTTTGGGAGATTCTGCTTATACACATGTTATATCTCCTTTATCCTCTCTAATCCTTTTATGTTCTTTTTTTATTTTTTATTTCATCCAGCTTGCACTTCTCATTTTTTCTTCTATATCCCCTCTTTTGTGTCTTGCAGTTTCTATTCTTCATTGTAATCATTGAAATGTGGCCTTGATTTCTTGCATTTCTGCTCAGTGGTGTTGTATCATAGAAGCTATTGGTTACTTAAGTTGTTAAATCCTTTTATTTTCTCCTGGACAATATTTTTCAGGTAAATGATCTTAATCTGTTGTAAGTATTAACTGAACTTCCAGCCTTAAATCTTGTAGTACCTTATATATCCTGAATAATTTCTGTCTCTCTCTCTTCCTTTTCTCCCTCCTTCCCTCTTTCCCTCCCTTCCTTCCTTTTTTCCCTTTCTTCCTTCCTTTTCTTCTCTCTCTCTTTCTTTCTCTATTTCTTTATACTAGTACTCATAATTTAAAAGAACTGTCTTCTTTGCCTGGACTAATTATTTGCAGAAGATGTGTGTGTGTATGTCTCCAAGACTGTATTACAGACTAATTGAGACCTTTTTTTTTTTTTTTAACAAAATAAGATTTCATGTGTGAATTTATATAGCCTTTTCTTTTCTCTAGCTAATGAAATTAGGGAGTCAGAGTTTTCTCTACAATGCATACTCTTTTCTCCCCTACTGCCACAGAAGCAGAGTGCTTCTTACAAATATGGTTTGTCTATGTGATTCTTCAATTATCCCTCCCTCCCATGTCTCTCAGAACTAAAACCAAGTCCAGAGGGACTCTTGCTCCCAGCCCGTGCATCTCCATTTCTACTGTGGCAAGCAAGGGATACATATTTTACACTCATGGATATATCTTATTTTCAAAAAGCATAATTTTAAAATTGGCATTCACAACTGCCGAGTCTCCTTGACACTGAGCTCTCACTCCAGGACATCTTCTCTTTCTCCAGCAGGTTCCCATTCTTCCATGCTGGATTTCTATTGCATTAACATCTCTTGCATCTATTTTGGATTCTGAGTTTCACCAAAAAAAAAAGTTTGTATTTTTAATCATCTTTCCTTATTGCTTTGGGATTACTTCTCAGAAGATTCAGTGGAATGCTGTCTGTATCTCCATGTTCAAATTAGAAGGTTCTCTATTAATTTTAAGCATCTATAGTTTTATTACATGTTAATTGATTTATTTGTGGCTTTAAGAATAAAATAAGGAATTTGTGTAATATCTTCCCAATAGTGGTTAAGTCTAAAGTTAGCTTGAAAACTAAATATGCATAAGAATTTATCACACTCCAAGAGACAGAGTCCCAATGCCAAATCCATCTGAGTCCAAAACAAATTCTCTAAACTCTTATAATAACCTGTCTTTCCTAACTTTTAGTAATTAAATCTGCCTTTTAGACTGAAGCAGGAGCAATTTACTGATTTATACATCATACAGCTCTTAATTAAGTCCTGGTCCCAGTGAATGTGGGGATCTACTTGAGTGTCCATTTCCTCTTCTACTTATCATTAAAATTCATGCGCGATATTTGTTTGGACACAGTCATGAGAAAGAGCGTTACAAGAAAGAGGAATCACTCTTTATAGACTATGTCTCAGCATTTAAGATGTAGCTTCCAAGTTTCTTATATGGGTTATCTTGACCATACTTAGTGTGGTCTGCACTCATCACAGTGTTCCCACATCTTCCTGTATATTACCACGTATATTACTCTGCCTCATAAATATACTTTTCCTATTTAAAGTTATTTCCTCTTTTCTACTTCTTATTATGCTACTATTTGCAATTTCCCTCAGGTTCTTATATTTATTCAATATAATTTGCATGCAGAAAACAAAGGGAGGAAGGTCTATCTTAATTCCTAAGAAATAATTGCATACTCTATGCCTGGAATGAACCTTTTAACCTCTATGAGTTTTCCAATGTGCAAAATTCTATTGGTTATTTGATAAACATTCATTGTATACCTACTATGTGCTCTGAGTTGGTGTTTCGGGATGAGGAAGACAATGTGGTGCATCCTGAAAGGGAAGCACAGCCCAAGTTCCATGGCCAAATGCAGAATGGAGTCATTAATTCTGCCTGGGTCATTAAAAGAAGTTCTGGATAGGTAAGAGTTGGCCAGATGGAGACAAGAAGAAGGACACTGTAAATGAGAGAAAGGCTGTGCAAAGTGCGGAGTTGTCATAATGAATGGAGGTCTGAGAGGTGGAGCCTCGTTCTATATACATGACGAATCAAGTGTGTGCATGGCAGATGGCAAGAAGGGGTGAGTGGGACCAGATCAGCTAAGGGTGAAGGGCTTAGCTAAGGATTTTATCCTGTGACAATCAGGAATCATGTGACATTTTAAAGCTAAGGAATGACATGATCAAATGTACAATTTAAAAGTATTGTGTTAGAGATTGGACTTAGAGAATTGCTAAAGATCTTCCCAATTCAGTGAAATCGTCTAAGTATCTATTGCTGCATAACAACCCCCCCTAAAACTTAGTGGTTTAAAGAATGACCATTTATTTACTTCACAGTTCTGCTGAGAGTTCTTCTGGTTCTGTGCTGGTCTTACATGGGCTCATTTATGTACCTGTATCAGCTGCTAGCCAGCTAAGTGTCTCTGCTTCTGGAGGCGAGCTGGCTATAGGCAGGGTGGTTGGGGAGACTCAGTCATGTGTCTCTCATCCTTCGGCAGGATAGCCTGGGCTTCTTCCCATGGCAGCAATGACAGAGGACCAAGAACATCAAAGAGGGAAAGTCCAAGCACTTTTTAAATCTAGTGACCACAAGACTAGCACAGATTCAAGGGGTGAAGAAATACACTCGCCACCTAGTAGGACAAGCTGCCACGTCATATATAGTCATATTATAAGGGTGTGGAAGCAGGGGAAGAATTTGGAGTCTTTTTTTTTTTTTTAATATACCACAACAGCTTTTTGATATGTGTGACTGTTTGTTTCAGTATTTTTTGCCCAGATGTGGGATAGTCAACATCTGTTTTCATCCCTGTGAATATTTCCAACTACACAGGTTAGGCTATGTAATTTTCAGGGCCCAGCACAAAATGAAAATTCAGGCCCCTTTGTTAACAATTAATAAAAATTTCAAGATGGTGCATCAGAACGTTGAACCACGTGTGAGCTTTTCTGAGTGTGGCGCCCCATGCAACGGTGCATGTTGCACACTCATGAGGCTGACTCTACTACAAGAGATTAGAAAAATCCTTTATTGTATCAGTTCCCATATTAGTCACCCCGCCATAACCACTCATAACCCCAACATACCCAAATGTTAAATGTTATGCCTTCTTTTAAAAATTTACTGAATGGCCATTCTCTCTTTTTTCCAGAAGGTGTCTATATGCTCAAGGCAGTTATTTATGATGAGTTTTGTGGAACTGAAGTGGAACTTGGACCTTATTACATGGAGATTGGTCATGAGGTTGTGTCTGTGTTCATGAATTCCAGCAGTGTGCATGATGGTGAAGTTCTTACCTTTGCTGGCTCCCACACAGATCAGAAAAGTAAGACCTGCATCTGGAGCCTAAGCAGCCCAGCCACAGCCATGAGTGAAGCATGACTCTCTCTCTGCTTCAATGATATTCTTCAAGTTACAACAATTCTAAATTCAGACACATCATTCATCATTTACTGTTCTTTCCTTCAGAAAATGTTTATTGAAGAATACTGTAGTCTGGGGACAAGCAGAAGAAGTCATACAAGGTCCTAGTTTCAAGGAATTTATAATCTAGTAAAGGAATTAATATATGCCTATGAAAACTATGAGGTAGAGCATAAAAGTGTCTTAAGAAGGATATTGCTAAGGGGCTGGAAGATTTCAGGAAGAGGGGAGAATTACATTAACTGGGAGGATAAAGAATATTTGACGTAGGAGTTGGCATATGAGATAGACCTTGAAGAGGAGGGTTTGGACATGAAGAAATGGATGTGGGTGGAGCATTTCGAGCAGACAACATGCAATAAGCAGAAGCACAGAGATAAGAAGGAACAGTCACTGGAATTCATTGGGCACTACAATGGGCTAGACACTCCGCCAAGTGCTTTACCCACATTACCTCCCTTTATTATCACAATGACCCTGTGACTAGGTGCTCTTTTCATCTCAATTTTTGTAGAGGAGAAGCCCAAGCTTAGAGGCCAGTGGGGGTGGGAATGGTGAATTCCAGCCAAATATCAGCAACATTATGGAGATAAAATCAACACTAACCCAACAAGTGTGAGAGCCAAAGATAATTCCAAAGTGTTCAGACTAAGTGATTGGAATTATGGTTGTACATTTCCCAGAAATAGGACAGAGTAAAGCAAATGGGAGAAGCATCACGATGAACTCATTCTTGTAACTTGTTCTACACCTTTACTGTATGTTTTTCATATAATTCAATGTAATTAGTCTGCTGAGAAACTGTCTCTCCAAGAAAGTATAAAATATATATTTGTTGTTGTTGTTTTATTACCTATTGGCACACCATAACCACCTAATTGGTCATTCATATTTACTTGTCTAAATTTTTAATAAATAGACAGCTTGTCCACCCAGTATAAAAGCACAATCCTTGTATGTCCCCAGCCTGTTCCATAGCAGGATTTATAATCAGAAGCTCTGGGTTTTAATCCAGATCCACAGATTAATAAGTGATAATCTTGTACAAATCCATTAGTTGCACTTTCCTCAAGGTTGTTGACTATTGGACTGTGGTTAGAATTAATGCATGGTTAATAAGATGTCACTCTTATTCATGGGACATTTATTTTTCAGAAATTCTAGTGGATTGATGAAGCACACTTTATCACTATTATAAATAAATATTTTCTCTCTATAAAGAGAAAAACCATGCAGAACAACAACAATTTATAAACTTTTTAAATATCTTTTTATAACAGATAAGTTGTTTTAAATCTTCCAAAATTGTCCTCTTCCAAAATTGCAGAAAATGATTGTGATTTGTCCTCTTTATGTGTGTGTGTGTGTATAAAAATGTTACATAAAATTTGAGGGCTTAAAAGCCTCAGGCTTATTCTTGGACCCATTTTAAGAACCCCTGAGGCATAAGACTACTTAGTACACACATTGGAGAAATACTTTTAAAACAAGGCCATCTAACAAATTAATTAACCTATTTTCAAGTAATTAGCATATTTACTGCTAGGTAGGGAGTTCTCAAGAGAAACGGAGAAGACGCTTAAAGAAAATTTTAATGAGAGAAATTTCTGTGAGAGGAGAACTTCTGAGAGAAGTTGGCTTCAAAACACATGGTTTGAATTTTGAAATGCATTAGAATTCAAAGAAAAGAAGTAAAAAAAAAAGTTAAATATTGACCATGTTAAATATGATCATTCCTTGAGACAAGTGAATTAATTTTAAGGCTGTTTTTCTCTTACCTTCTTTTTTTCTTATTTTAGGCACTGTTGTCATGCATCATTTTCCATCCACTTCCTCATATAATGTGTCCTTCACTTCTCAAAACAAAGCGGGTGACAGCCAAGCCTGGCCCAGCGTGACTGTTTGGTATAAGATGCAGCGTACGTTTTTGTTCTAACTCCAGATTTAACAAATTCTCTTTTATACCATCAGTTGAGATTATGGCAGCCATAGTCAGCAGTATGTTCTGTTATCAGCTCTGCCTGAGACCCTCATTTGCCCTTGAATAGGCTCTTTATTGACCCACCGTTTGTTCTAGAGCTGCACTAGAACTCACGGGCATGAAGGCTTCAATCTAAAGGGAGGAGAATGTAGGGTATCAAGCAGAATCACCTGCCAGCTCCCCACACTATACCTTTAAGGAAAATTCCAAAAGGAGTTGGCCATATCGCTCTATGAGCTATTACTTTGATGACTTTTGAACTCAGTTCATAATTGCTTCTCAGGTCCTTAGAGCTGCATCACTGCCCACACAACCTTGTACCCACATTCAGAGGTTCGTTATCCATCACTCATATCCATGACTGAACGGGAAAGTAGAGGTACCAACCTCTACTGCACGAGTTCCAGCCCTTCCATTCTCAAGTATCTGTTCCCCTCTTTCTTTCCTCACAGCTGTTTCTGTCTACACAAATGGAACTGTGTTTGCCACAGATGCAGACATCACTTTTGTAGCTGTTACCAAGGAAATGAGACCCTTGGAGTTTGAGTGGCATTTTGGAGAAGACCCACCAGTGAGGACAACTTCAAGAAGCATAGAAAAGAGACTCCACATCCCACAGCGGTCCGTGAACATTGTCATAGTGATGTGTGTCTGGGGATAACGCAGCTTTACCTCAGTCTGAGGGTTATTGTGCTACCATTCAATTAATTTGATACAATTGTGTTGTAATGAGCCAGTAAGCACTTCAGGGGATTGAACTCAAATGTAGTTTTATAGTGTTGAGGGACTCCCTTCCTTCAGCCTGAATTGGGTGAAAGGGTGTGGGCTTTGAAACCAGAAAAACCTGGGTTCAAATCCCATCTTAGCCAGCAGTGTGACCTGAGAAAATTCCTTATCTGAAGAAAGCATAACGATGCCTTCCCCACTCACTTTGAGATGTGAATTAAAAAATAAAGAAGGGTGTTCAAAAATTTTTACTCTTCCTTCTTCCTGATTAAATGAAAATCATTAGGTGCTGTGGTAATTCCTACAAGTTAAAAGCCAGAATTCCCCTGCCATTCTCTTTGAAGTAATGTAGAGATTCTCTCTAACTCTGCCCTTGTTTCTCTCTTGTCATCTGACTTTTCTGGCCTCCGGGCGCCTCATCCAACAGGTACCAGGTGGTGGTCAAGGCTTCCAATGGGATCACTAGTGTGGTCTCTGAGCCCCACCCCATCAACATCCAGAAGAAAATTGTTGCCAATCGCCTCTTATCCACCTCCTCTGCTCTGGTAAATGCCAGTGTGACCTTTGAGTGCAGGATTAACTTCGGCACGGATGTTGCTTACCTGTGGAACTTTGGGGATGGTACTGTCGGTCTGGGAAACAGCACCAACACCCATGTCTACAGCAGGTAAGATACTCCAGGCACAGGTAAAGACCTTTCTGCAGCAGCAGCAGGGATTGACTTTGCAAGTCATCAGGACTCAGGTTCTCCAGAAACTGACTTGACTTTCAGTCAATATAGCTGACAGATATTTACCAGAGACAAATAAAACCCAGCTATTGCTCTTGAGGAGCTCAGAATCCAGGGGAAAGGCAAAGAGGTGAGCAGGTACTTTCAGAACAGCGGGTTGAGTCCTACAAAAGAGGTACAAGGTATTGTGGAAACACTCAGTATTCTTTGTAAAACCTAAGAGGGCTCACAGTGGCATTTGCATGAGTTGAAGATTAACTCCTGAGTAGGAGTTTGCCAAGGGAAAAGTGGGGGAGGGGATTCCAAACAGAGACAACCTAGGCAAAGGCACAAGGAAAGGGTGTCAATGGGGGGCATGTTCAGGAAATGAGAGAAGTTTGGAGGGATTAGTGTGATATGTATAGAAGGGAGGGGTGAGGAGAAGCGGGCATAAAAGCAGAGGGTACTTGGGGACAACTTGTAAAGGGCCTCAGTACCATATTGAAGAATTTGGATGCTATTCTTGAATTTGGCATTTACTGAGTAACCACTGGAGCTCTGGTGGTGCAGTAGTTAAAAGCTACGGTGTGCTACAGCTGCTAACCAAAAGGTCAACAGTTCAAATCCACCAGCTGCTCCTTGGAAACCGTATGGGGCAGTTCTACTCTGTCCTATAGGGTCACTATGAGTCGGAATCGACTCAACCGCAATGGGTTTGGTTTTGTTTTTTTTGAGCAACTACTGTTTCCCTTGAATAAAACGTTACGGAGATACAAGAAAGAGGTATGAGTGCCTTTGTCTAAAATAAAGTTTCCAGTTGCTTGGGGAGGTAGATATGCCCGTGGAAAACACGGGTGGAAACCCCAGGACTGCCTTACCTCACTCAAGCTTGGGAGGGAATTTGGCCCCTCCCTGTGCCTCGCATCTGAATCTGCCTGTGATCCCTCTGCCCTCTGTCCAGTCCTCAGGCCCACCACGTGACTTGGACCCGAGGTCTAGAGGCCACACCCCTTCTCTTAGGGATCTCTGCTTGGACTTAGGACTCACAGCGATGGTCCCCAGGCCCAGGTTTCCCTGAGAGTTTCAGCTTTTCCTTAGCTACTGGGATCAGACCCTTAGTTTCCCTTCTGATGATGAATTCATCTGCTTGGCCCATCAGTCCCAATGACAAGAGCTCTGCCTGGAAGTTCCTCAGTCTTGCTTTGACACACTTTTCACTCTGGGTCAGGAATCCTTCTCCAGAATTGAGTAATACAAGACATTCCACTCAATGGGGTTCAAGCCCTGCCTGGACTGGATGCCTCTCAGTTGATGGGAGCCCCCATTCCTAACTTGACCTACACTTTGGCCAGGCCTTCCACGGCTGCCTGGGATTTGCCCCATAGGGCCCAGCCCCCTTTGCAGGTGGCCAGCACCCTCAGTCTGGTGCACTGAAAGGGCTTTAGGGTCATGTTGTCACTTAAAGGTTGGCTGTGCCACATTTTACCTGGGTAAACTTGAACTTCACTTCTCTTCTCCTCACTTATTTAATCTGTAAAATGGGGATAGGGATTTCCACCTGACAGGCTTCTGTAAAGCACTAATGAGATAATACTGATAAAGGGACATACCCTTATTCTCCCCAAATGTGGGTCTGGCCAAGATCTCAGTCCCTCTTCCTCATATGATAACACCAGGAATTGTTTCTCTACTAATAGAAAGAGGAAGCTGATCAGAACAATACCCCTTTTGTATGGGCCTGGCTTGCGCACAGAGATGCCCCTTAGCAGTGTGTGAAAGCTGGGTGGCACACATGGTTAAGCACTCAGCTACTAAGCAAAAGGCTGGCAGTTTGAATCCACCCAGAGGTGACTTCGAAGAAAGGCCTGGTTATCTACTTCCAAAAGTTAAGTCATTGAAAACCCTATGGAGCAAAGTTCTACTCTGACACACATGGAGTCACTACGAGTTGGAATTGACTTGACAGGAAATGTTTTTTTTGAGAGGCCTAAGGGAAGGCATAGAACCTTCCACCTGCTACAGTCTCAGGAACTACTTCACACCATCCTCTCCAGCCATCCTGGTCTGGCTCCCTGGCCTCTGTTTGCGTCTGTGCCTTGTTCCTCACACGCACTCTCTGGATGTGTCTCTTGGGTCCAGACTCTGCATCCACACAATGCTGTATTTTCAGTGTTTTCTCATGGCCCCTCCACTGCAGACACTCCATTCCCAGGACTGAGCCCGCCCCCACAGTGAGGACAGGCATGCATCTCCATGTGAACTGGGAGGCAAAACCCAGCTTCCTGAACCAGGGAAGTAATGGCTGCACAGTCTGCCTGGGACCCTGAACAGGGGGCTCTGGGTCAGGGTCAGGTGGAATTCCCAGGCAGGGCCCCAAGCTCAGGGCAGCTGGGATCCTAAGCAGCCTTCCAGAAAGGCTTTAGAACATAACAAGGCCAAAGGTTATGTATCAAACCCAGGCCGCGACATACATCTCAGGACAAACCACAACTCCTTAGTATCACATCCATGGTATGGGCCCTGTGGCCCTTCCCTGCTGACCTTCTGGCCCCTCTCCTACCTCTCCGATCCTGTCAGCCCCATGCTGCTTTTGTTTCCGGCACACACTTGGCACCTGTGACCACCTGGCACATTCCGGCCTGGGCTCCATGGCCCATCTTAGGTATGACCCCTCTGTGTAGCCTCCATGTGCTGCATACCGTGGACTTGGGCCTCCCACCATGGAGCTCTGCGGGAGTCTGTGGGAATTTCGGTGGCTGCACCTGCCGTGGTGTTCAGAGGGAAGCAATTCATTCTCACGTGGATTACTTTTCTTTTAGAACATGCAACAGCAGTGTGGGAGTTCAGCTCCTGTCCTGACCCACGCTGGATGGGGAGCTGGTCTATTAGTAGGACACAAAATGGCTTATGTGGAAATCAGCCTCAGGACTTTCTCCCATCTGGTCTTATTCTTGGAGCTGACTTGCCATCAATTACTGCAGTTATGCAGATCTAGGATGGTTATGTGGGATTAACGAAGACTAACATACAGGCTCTTCATTTCCATGCATCTCTCCTAGGGAAGGAGAATTTACAGTGGAGGTCCTCGCCTTTAACAAGGTCAGCTCTGCCTCACTAACAGAGCAGCTTTTCATCGTGGGCACATCCTGCCAGCCTCCGCCAGTGAAGAACATGGGGCCTGGGAAGGTCCAGGTAGGTGTAACAGTCTCATTCGGCCTTGCCTCTGAGCTGAGCCCAGTGGCAGGAGTGGCGAGAGCTTTAGGCAATGAAGCGATGCTTTGTTAGGTTTATCCTGCTGCCTTTTTTATACAAAGGCGCGCCTCTGAAGGGGTTCTGAGCATGGCAGACACGTCCACCCTGCCTTTGGCGGAAGGGAAAAGCCTTACTTCAGGCATGTGAATAAGCCTTTTATTCGCCTATATTACACTGGTATTCAGCACAGCTTGCTTTAAGGAGGGCTTTTTTTTTCAACTGTGTGGCGAACTGTAGCCTTCTCAGGACGAAGGCAACTTGAATATATAGGACAGCAAAATAAACAGAAATTGTAAGTTATTTGTTGAGCACCTGCTATACTGGCAAGTGACATTCTGGTCCTTGGAAACTCAGGTTTGGGTTTGCAAACTATGAGGTTTGGGTTCGGAAAAATAGCGTTTCAGTTTATTTAGTTTCTTTGAAGCCTTTGATTTAGAGCAAATTTTCCTTTTCGGGACAAAGTTGATCAAATGGCAAATTGGAATTAAAATCTGTGACTTGGCTGCATTTCCTAAAATGTTTTTTGTGGCATTCTAGCCTGAAGAGTTCAATTGCTCGGCACCTTTGAGTCTCAGGGGCACCTCCCTCAGGCTGTGGCAGCAGAGACAGACAAGCTCATTTCAACACCCCAGGGCAAGGATGTGTCCTCCTGGGAGCCGCATTGCACAGAGCCATCCATCACGGGGCTCCTTGCAAATATCGTGTCCCCTTCCAGTAAGATCAGGCCAGTGAGCATGTCTGTGCGGAAGTGGGTTCTCGGAGTGTGGGAGATGGACAGAGAAGTAAGGGAGCTAAAGCTAAGAGCAGACACAGGGAAGGGCACAGGCAGAGGGATCAGGCTTGAATCCTAACTGCTACCAAGTTGAGCTGTGTGATACCACCTTTCTATCAGTTAAAAATGGGCAAATATCAGGAATGCCATAGGTTCAAACTACTGATCAACTGTGTGACGTTGGGTTAATATTTTTTATATATTTGATCCTCAGTTTCTCCACCTGTAAAACAGAAAACAGTATTTCTGTTACAGAGTTGTTATAAGAATTAAATGAGAAGCTAGAAGTAAAATAGTTAGGACACTGTTTAACGAGCACCAGTTTTCTGGTTACCACGTGAAGAGAAGATCCACTGTGGTGTGGTAGACATAGCATGTGACTGAGAATCAACTCATTTAAAAATGATAACTTCCTTTTTCTGAATATACAATAGAATGTGTCCATTTTAGAAAATGTGTAGATAATGAAAAGTATAAAGAAAACATGGTATCATCTGAAATTCTTCAATCAGGAAATAGCCAGTATTAACAGTCTGATGTATTTATTTTTAGTATTTTTTTTAAAGAGTCTTTATATGAGTTGTGTAAGTTAAGAGCTGGGTTGCTAATCAAAAGGTCAGCAGTTTGAATACACCAGCCTCTCCTTGGAAATCCTATGGGGTACTTCTACTCTGTCCTATAAAGTCGTTACGAGTCGGAATCAACTTGACAGCAACGAGTTTGTTTGTTTGTTTTGGTAGGTTTGTGCATAACAAAATTGAGACAACTGCATTATAGTGTGACTAATTTCTCTTGTTATTAGTCTTCTGATCACATGATTTAAATGGAAGTATAATCTTAAATCATATATACAAAATATTCAATATTTTCATGTCCTCATTATTAAACATTTAGTGTTTCTAATTTTTTATCAATATAAATAACGTTCTGTACACAAACCTTTCAGCATGTCTATGATACTTCATAGGCATAACTCCTAGAAATTATAGAACCAAAGACTATTGGTGCCTTTTCCAGGATCTTGATAAACACCTCGCCAATGTCCTGGTGGGGCTGTGTCAGCACCTGAGAAGAGTGCCTGTACCACTGGAGCTTTTCATAGTGTTTAATGTTTGTTATTATTAATAGGCTAAAAATTGGCATTTTATCATTAAAATTTGCTGTACAAAGCCGTTGCCATCGAGTCAATTCCAACTCATAGCAACCCCACAGGTCAGAGCAGAACTTCCTGATAGGGTTTCCAAGGAGCGGCTGTGGATTCGAATTGCCAACATTTTGGTTAGCAGCAGAGCTCTTAACTACTACACCACTAGGGCTCCTAAAATTTGCTGTAACTCATGTAAATCTGAGCAGTTTTGTGACAAGTCCAAGAATCGCATCATATTCAGAGCAGAAAAAATAAAAAATAATTTAAAAGTAATTTAACATGACTAAAGCCACTTAAAGAATGTCAAAGGTGAAATTCCACTAATAGAGAACACTAATTTTTCTTAAAATCCCATTTCCCAACTCCTTTTAGAAATCTTGCCTGTTCAATTTTTATAAGAGACTGTCTTAGTTATCTAGTGCTGCTATAACAGAAATACCGTAAGTGGGAGGCTTTAGCAAACAGAAGTTAATTTTCTCACTGTTTATGAGGCTACAAGTCTGAATTCAGGGTGCCAGCTCTAGGGGAAGGCTTTCTCTCTCTGTCAGCTTTGGAGAAAGGTCCTTGTCTCTTTGAACTTCTGCTTCTGGGTGATCTTCATGTGGCTTGGTGACTCTCTTCCCCCATCTCTGCTTCTCTTGCTTGCTTGTTTAATCTCTTTTATATCTCAAAAGAGATTGATTTAAGACATACATACACTACACTAATCCTGTCTTAGAAACATAACAAAGAAACCCATTCCCAAATGGGATTATAACCACAGATATAGGGGTTAGGATTTACACACATATATTGGGGGGACACAATTCAATCCATAACAGAGACCTGGAAAAGAGAATTCCTCAAGGCGGAACCTTGCATTCATTTTCTCCCCAGCATGGGAGGGACTATGTCCAGTGGGCCTTTCTTGCTTCTACCAACCTCAGGAAGGTTTGACTTTCATCAGGTTCAGTGTATGGTAGGACAGCTTGTTCTTAGAGGATGAGGAAGGGAAGAAAGGGGGTTGGAAAGACAGAGTGGCTGGGAATGATAAAGTTTATGAACACATAGGTATTATATTTCCCTGTGTCATTGTATTTTTTGGATTATTACTGTTAGCAAATATGTTTTTATAAACTTATGAATAGCTATTTATAGTTTAATTTTTTATTATTAAAATGTTCAAGCATAAATAACAGTAGAGAGAATAATATAATGAACTTATCACCTATACTGAACAAATATTAATATTTTGCCATATTGCTTTATGTATGTTTTCTTTGATGAAATATTCTATAGTCATTCCCAAATAGCATGACATTTAACCCCTGAAGACTTCAGTATGTGTCTCTAAAAACTAAGAACATTTTCTTAGATGAACACAATGCCATAGCACAACTGTTATCACTCCTCTTTCTTAATATAATCAAAACCTGGTCCATAATCAAATTTCAATCTCCAGAATATCTTCATGCAGTAGTTGGTTTGATTGGGATGCACAACATTTCTTTTGTTAAAACAAACAAACATAAACAAACAAAAAATGCTTTCTCTAATCCATGAGGTTAAAAAAAAACCATTGCCATCGAGTTGAATCTGACTCATAGTGACCCTATAGGACAGAGTAGAACTGTCCCATAGGGTTTCCAAGGAGCAGCTGGTGGATTCGAACTACCAACCTTTTGGTTAGCAGCCGAGCTCTTAACCACTGCACCACCCCTGCTCCAATCGACTAGGTGGGACTACACCAAACAAACAACCAAACTTGTTGCCGTCATGTCAATTCTGACTCATCACGACCCCATAGGACAGAGTGGAACTGCCCTATAGGGTTTCCAAGGAGCGACTAGTGGATTCGAACTGCTGACCTTTTGGTTAGCAGCTAAACTCTTAACCACTGGACTACCTAGAACTGCAAGGTTACCTTAAATATATATAATTTGTACATGCATACAAGAATAAATGCTCAATTCTTTCCCCTCATCACCAGTGTTCAGAGTAGGAAGTTGGGGCACTAGTTACTTCCAATGGCAGCAGATGAGTTGTGTGTGCTTGTGTGTTTTGTGGGGACAGGGGAATCCTCTCTGTCTCTTTTAGCATCATTGATTTTTTATATATTGATACTATTCAATAAATTATAGACATTACCTGTTTGATCCTCATTTGGGCTTATTTGGGGCCTATGAAACATTCTTTAGGCTGGGCTGTGATGGCCTTCTGCCACGACTTCATTAGTCTTTGAAAGCTTCTTTCCTCTTGGCACAACAGCTGCCCCAACTCTGGAATTGGCCATGTCTCCAAGGAGCCCTGACCCTTTTAATTAGTATTTAGAGACTGGAATCTGGCACCAGGGTGGTTATTGTTCCTGGGTTGTCATTGCTTCTGAGCTTTTCAGTGTATAGTACTAGTAAACATGAATTCAAAATAAAGTCAAATAAGTCATGATTTTATATTGATGTTTCACATTCAGAAAGCATTATTTATGTAAACTTTATATTTTTTTGTATTTGTATTCTCTTATACTAAAATCTTGGTTCCTAAAACATTAGCATAATTAGCATTTTTTCTAATAAGTACACAAAATACTTACAATGCAAATATTAGCACAGGAAAGAAAACTGCTGAATGAACTTTGATTTTCTTTGCAGTCCTTTTTGCCCTTAGAATAATTCCCATTAAGAGTATATACTCAAAATACTCTACATTAAAGTCACTTTTTTCCTAGGTTACTTGTTTCAAATAAGGTTACATTTCTTTCGGATTTTTAGGGGTTGTTTTTTTTCTTTTTGATTTAATTTAATTTAGAATATATGAAATATTTACAGGTTTCACTGTAGTTGGAGTTTCACAGTTGCAAAGTCAATTTTTAGTAATTCACTATTTTATCAGATATAATGGGAATTTTAATGAGGCATCATTTCTTTTTTAATACTTAGGTATGGCGGTCTCAGCCAGTGAGACTGGGAGTGACCTTTGAAGCTGCCATTCTCTGTGACATTTTCCAAGGCCTTTCTTACACCTGGAGCTTTATGAAGTCTAATGGCTCCCATGTGTCCCTTCCCCCTGCTGTTGACATCCACAGACAAACCGTTACTGTCCCAAGCTACTTTCTGGAGTACGGAAACTATACTGCAGTTGCTAAGGTCAGTGAGCTGACTGGAAGCTGGTGTTGTTAAGTCTACTATACTACGTGCACAATGAAACCATTACTTTCCATGAGCCTGTTAGCAAGAGCTCAGCATTTTAGCTCTACACGGATTCTGTCAAAGAAAGGTGGGGGGTTGCTTTAAAAAAATGTAGATACAATTTCCACAGAAATGCTTAACCAACTCGAGAGAACAAATTATGTTCAAACACTGGCAAAGTAATTGATTCAAACTGCGTCTAAAACTCCTCTGTATTCATTTAAGAACAGTTTCCTGGGCACTTAGGTGGACTAAGCCACTGTGCTTGTAATGGGTATGTCAGAAGACTACCTGTGTTGTTGAAGAGCTCCTCACCTAGAAAGGAAGAGAGAACACTAGTCAGAGAGCAGGAGCGCAAAGAAGCATCCCCATGATGGGCTTCAGCTGGTGCTCAGTGCAGTGTGGCTGAAAATATGCGGGTTCAGAAAGGGGAGAGGCACTGCTGCAAGAGTAGGCTTCACGGGGAGAGGTCTGGCAGAGAGATCAGAGAGAGCAAGTTCACGGGGATAGGATTTGGGGGAGGTGACAGCTGGGGTGAAAGCTAGGGAGGAGGTCAGAGCTTGTGATCTGCTTGGAGCACAGGGAGTCAGGGGGGAACCCTGGAGAAGGACTTTGGAATCAGACTGTGCAGATGGTGAAGGCCAGGCTGAAGATAGGGGACTGGAGACCAGACCAGTGCCCCCCAAAACTATCTGCAGGAGAGGGACTTTAAAAAAAAAATCTGCTGTGGATGGACATATGGTCCCACTGTACATCAAGATCAGCTCAGGCCCCATAGCTCAGCACTGAAGCTCTTCAACACCCAGACTATTGTACACCTGGTTCACAGAAACAAGTTTACAATCAAGTGCTTGAATGCCATGGCAATGTCAAACTCTGATACGAGTTTCCCAATTACCTCATTGTGGACCAGACCGGCAGCAATTCACTGGATGACAGAGGGCTGCAGACTATGCTTTGAGTACCATTGTTTTAGATGTAGGTAATGGGAAAAATCAGAGGTTTCAGAGTATGATCCATGTTCCACTTTGAAAATATTAATTGGGAAACAGTTGGAAATAGACTGAAGGATAGGATGATGAGAGAGCATTCTAATAGTAAAGCCAAGAAATAACTAGAGGCTGAAACAGGATAGAGGCAGTGGGACTGGAGAGCAGAACAGGACAGGGTGAGCAATTGACTTTCCCCAAAATAAAAAAGACCCGTTGCCATTGAGTCGATTCTGACTCATAGGGACCCTATAGGACAGAGTAGAACTGTCTCATAGGGTTTCCAGGGAGTGGCTGATAGATTCGAACTTCCAACCTTTTGGTTAGCAGCTGAGTTCCTAAGCACTACACCACCAGACCTGCCAAGATGACTGATTAATTGTAGGTAACTAAAGGGAAATCCAAAGGCAAATCTGGAGACTGGATAAGTGGAGGAGGGATGCTGTTCCTTCATTTGCCCAATGAAGCAGAGTGCCTATTGGTGTCTGGCTACATGCTAGGCACTGCAGAGATGGGAGGACGAATGAGGCATAGCCTTGGCACACTTGACCTCAACAGCCTGGTGTGCCTGGTAGATGGTACACAACAGTCTATCATTGTTAAGCTATTAGCTGCCATGGAGTCAGCCCTAACTCAAGGCTGCCCCGTGCACAAGGGAAAAAGGTTGTTTTTTTTTTTTTTAATTTTTTTTTTTATTGTGCTTTAGATGAAGCTTTACAGAACAAATAGTTTCTCATTAAACAGTTAGTATACATATTGTTTTATGGCATTGGTTAACAACCCCACAACATGTCAACACTCTCCCTTCTCGACCTTGGGTTCCGTATTACTAGCTTTCCTATCCCCTCCTGCCTTCTAGTCCTTGTCTCTGGGCTGTTGTGCCCCATTAGTCTCGTTTTGTATTATGGGGCTGTCTAATCTCTGGCTGAACGGTGAACCTCGGGAGTGACTTCATTACTGAGCTAAAAGGGTGTCTGAGGGCCATACTCTCGGGGTTTCTTCAGTCTCTATCAGGCCAGTAAGTCTGGTCTTTTTATGTGAGTTAGAATTTTATTATACATTTTTCTCCACCTCTGTCCAGGACCCTCTGTTGTGATCCCAGTCAGAGAAGTCAGCGGTAGTAGCCAGGCACCATCTAGTGGTACTGGGCTCAGTCTGGTGGAAGCCGTGGTAGTTGTGGTCCATTAGTCCTTTGGACTCATCTTTCCCTTGTATCTTGTTTTCTTCATTCTCCCTTGCTCCCGAAGTGGTGAGACCAGTGGAGTATCTTAGATGGCTGCTCACAGGCTTTTAAGACCCCAGACGCTACTCACCAAGGCAGAATGTAGAACATTTTCTTTATAAACTACATTATGCCAGTTGAGCTAGATGTGGAACAAGGTTCTGTGTTATTTCCATCATCAGTTCAGATCAGACCATTGTGATTCATAGAGTTTTCATTGGCTGATATTCAAAAGTAGACCACCAGGTGTTTCTTCCTAGTCTATCTATGTCTGGAAGCTCTGATGAGACCTGTTTAGCCTCACAGCAACATGCAAACCTCCACTGACAGACAGATGATGGTTGTGCATGACAACAAGCTATAAAGGTGTGATAAATGCCCAAACTCCTTAGAAGCAAGGATCACAAGACTTTGTCTTACTTTGGACGTGTTATCAGAAGGGACCAGTCCCTGGAGAAGGACATCACGCTTGGTAAAGTAGGCGGTCAGCAGAAAAGAGGAAGGCCCTCAATGTGATGGATTAACACAGGGGCTGCAACAATGGGCTCAAACATAGCAACGATTGTGAGGATGGCACAGGACCGGGCAGCATTTCGTTCTGTTGTATGTAGGGTCGCTATGAATTGGAACTGACTTGATGGCACCTAAACACCTAACAACAAAAAGCACCCAAACAGTGAATGAGCCAAGTGCCAAGGGAACTCAGAGGAAGGGGAGGCTATTGAGCCAAATCTTTGAAGACTAGGGGAGGGATTTCAGCATGGAGGTAAGCGTGCATGAGGGCAGGGAGAAGGTGTGAGATGAGGCAGGAGCAACTAGGTTTTGTTGGGGTGAGTGGTGGGAATGAGGCTGGAAACAATGGGGGGGGTGGTTTCCTTCTGAAGGCAATAGAAAGGAAAGCATGATGGGGAAGAAGACTTGGGGTAAGAGCATGTCTTCATTATTGAATGAGTTTAGTTTGAAATTTTAAGAGAATATTCAGGTGGAGTGTCTAGCAGAGTAGTGAAGTGAGGGCAGGAGCTGGTGGAGATTTTTGGGGAGCTATGTACACAGAGGGAGAGTGGAAGCAGGGGAGTGGTGGGGTCAGCCTCCTGCCTTGATGGGAAGAGTGAAAAGAGAAAGAGAAGACAGCCCAGGCCTGGAAGACAACAGCTGTAGGGGACAAGAGCAAGGAAAAGAGCTTGAAAAGGAGGTACTTTCTTGGTTGTCTATGTATAATATAATGGAGTCCCTGGGTGGGGCAAATGGTTAAGCACTCGAATACTAGCTTAAAGGTTGGTGTTTCAAGCCTACCCAGAGACAGCTTGGAAGAAAGGCCTGGCCATATGCTTCTGAAAGGACACAACCTTTAAAACCCTATTCAGTAGTTCTGCTCTGCACACATGGGGTCACCAAGAGTCAGAATCAACTCAACGACAGCTAACAACAAAAACAACATGTATGATATAATAGCATCAGAAGGATTCTTTTCGCCAGTTATACTTAAATTTAATTTTAAAATAGTGAAAATATTTTGTATTAATTATATTCTACAAAATCACTTGTTCCTGATTCAGTCCGTATGGAGGTTTCCTGGAAGCCGACTCCTAGGGTGGTAGTTCTAAGCCATATTGAAGTGACCTGGAAGCAGAACTCCTCGGAGATCATTAGTGAGCCCTCCTCCATCCATCAGCCTGAGCTTTCTGATGTTATAGTTGAGGCGAGAATGGGGGAGGGTTTTTCCTCCAGAGGCTATCTGGCCAGCTTCCCAAAGAGCGCTTCCAATGAAATTCATCTGCCGTGGTATAGCCCTCAGCTTTGCAGGTCCATAAACATGGTCCAGGGACTGGGTCGTGCTGTGTGAGCTTAAAAATATTTGCCTTAAATTTCATTTATATTTCTTCAATTCCATAATATGTTTGGGGTTTACAAAGAAGTAGCTTAAGGAAATGTATGTCACACAAAATCCACCAAAAAACCAAAAAACCTGTTACCATCGAGTTGATTCTGACTCATAATTTAGTGTCAACAGAGAAGTTTGAAAACTGTAAAACATGTGCATACATGGAAATTGTTATTTAAGGTGTTAGGAAAGTCCCAACTTTGTACATTAATACACACCTAGCTAGGAAAATGCTAGCACTTTCGTTGACTCCAGCCAGTTTATCTCCCAAGAGTCACAAAGCTGGTTGAAAAATAATGACGTTTTTCCATGTAGCCCTTAAAGCCATTAGTTGTAGCCAATGAAGTATTTAGACTCATCAGTTTCATTTCTACATTTAAGAGGAACATCCAGCTCCAGCCCTCGTCCTATTTCATTACTGTCTTAGTTTCCTAGTGCTGCTGTAACAGATATACCACAAGCGGGTGGCTTTAAAGAATAGAAATTTATTTTCTCACAGTTTTGGAGGCTAAAAATCCAAATCCAAGTCTTGACCTTGTCAATGATGTCTTTCTTGTTGGTAGTACAGGTTGTTCCTCCATTCCTTGGCCTTCCTTGGCTAGTAGATGATCTTCACATGGCGACTGACCTCCCCCATATGTGTGCATGTCTTTGTGTCTATTCTGGTCCTTTATAACTCAGAAGTGATTAGATTTAGAACCCACCCTATTTAGGTAAGATATAATTAAAATAACAAAGAAAACTCTCTTTCAAAATAGTATCACATCCACTGGTACAAGGGCCAGGAATTCAACACATATTTAGCGGGGCAGGGGAACACAATTCAATCCATAACAACCACCCATGTGACTGTCCTGTCATTTATGTTACAGGTTCAAGTCAAAGGCAGCATGGTGCACAGCAACTACTCAGTGGGGGTGGATGTTCGAGCCAGGACCCCCGTCAGTGTGGTCTCAGAGGGCACACACCTCTTCATCACCAAGGCTCCCTCCTCCACCATCGTCCTCAGTGGGTCCCAGTCCTATGACCCCGACAGCCCGGGTACACCTCTCAGGTGAGCACCACAGGTACTGTGCGGCTGATTTACCCGGTACTCGCATTTATCTATATCCTGTTCCTTCTCCAAATGCATACTTTGGAATTCAGAATCGTTGGTGTTAGAATCCTGCCGAACAGGTATAATTATTTTTTAGTGCATCAAAGGCCACAGGAGCTCCCAGGCACTGTGCAGCAACCACATCTGTTTCCATTATAGCGTCTGTCACAGTACATGTGATGCTGCAGATTGTGTCCCCCACTAGATTAAGACCTCCTCAAGTCTAAGGACATGCTGGATTCTTGCTTGACTCAGAGTAGGCATGAATATCTTTGTTGAATGTATCCACTGTGATCTTACAGCACTGTCTTGAGGTTGGGAGGCAAGACTCCTGGCATTCATATCCTGGCTCGGTTACTTCCTTGCTCCAAGACTGGGCAACTCCTCCTGACTCTCCAAACTTTATTTAGTTCCGGACACTGGAATAATAACACATGCCATCCGCTGTCTATCACATAGGATTATCAGGAGGGTTAAATGCCCATGCTTAGTGGCTGGGTTACATGGGAGGGGCAGAGGTACCTGCAGGAGGGGTCCCAGTCCTCAGGAGGGGGAGAAGCTGAGCAGTAGCTCAAAGCACAGGGCTGACATGGGTTGACAAAAACGTAGGGAGGTGCCCGTGAGGAGAATGGAAACCATGAGGGAGACCGGAAGCAAGGGCTTGTTCGGTGTTAGGGGACGCTGGTGACGTGGATTGGTGGGAGCCGAGCCCAGCCCTCCCCCACTGCCTTGCTGTGCCCACTTCTGAAGTTTCCCTCCTCCATTACTTTATAGAATAAGGGAAGCACTGTCTCTTCTGAACCTAGCTTTCCGTTTGGGCCCCCAGGAGAGCCGCAGGATGAGACTCAGTGGCCCCAGACTCAGGCCGTCTCCCTGGGCTCCCCCGTCTCCAGGTACCACTGGAGGTGCGCTCCCGCTGGGGCGCCTGCACACCCATGCTTCCACACTCCCACGCCCAGTGGACTGGACTCCACGGCGCCGGTCATCTCCTTTGCAGCAACAGATCTCAGTGACGGCTATGACCAGTTCCTGGTGACCCTGAAGGTGTCCAGCGGCAGCCGGACCTCCTCCGAAGCTCAGGTGTTCCTGTCCCTCCGCTCCAAGCCAGCACTCAGGTACTCCCCGCCCGGCTCCACAGGTGTCTGTCTGCGGGGATCCTGGCAGCATTTGGAGCCACAGAGGAAATCTGGGGCATGGCGAGGAGTTTGGGGTGAAGTTAGCCCCAGAGTCTCTACCGATGAGGAGGGGCAGGGTTGCTAGCAGCTGAGCTCTGGGCGGGCCCCCGTGGGTAGAGCAGTTGCCGTGCAGAGCTGACATGCAGGTGGTCCTGGAGTGGGAGCTGGGCGATGATGACGGGCACGGCGAGCGCAGGCAGCTGAGAGCACACACCCCGAGACTGCACAACAGCTGCAGGGGCCAGAGTGAGGCAAAGTGGCCCAGTCCTCAGCCTGGCGTGTCAGGGCAAAGACGCCATCACCATCTGAGACTGAGGGATTAGGGAGCAAAGGAATGCCTTGACAAAAATAAAGAAAAAGGCAAAATAAAACCAACTAAACCAACAAACCAACCCAGCAACACAGAGGCGAGTTGCACCTAAAGGTCACGTCAGCCCCCCAGGTACTCAACGAAGGGGGGCAGAACCAAGGACAGCGCCAGGACAGGCTTCCATGTGGCTGCGCACCTGCCTCCCCCTCCGGAGGAACTGGGTGGTGGAGTCCAAGAGGTGAGCAGAGACCGAGTCCTGTTTCTCCACTGCTTTGCCTCCTGGTTCCGGGAAGGGCAAGTGTGGGGCAGCAGGGCTCTGCACCCAGGTCTGTGTGCTGCCTGGGTGGCCGCCTAGGGAAGACAAGGCTTGTTCCCATCACTAGACTTTTGCAAACCAAAACCAAACCAAACCGGTTGTGGTCCAGTCGATTCTGACTCATAGCGTCCTCTGCAAGGGGGGTAAAAACAGCATGTGGTAACGCAGGGGATGAGTGAATTTCTGAGAGCATCCTGAAGGAGGAAGCAAACTAGCTGTGCTTCGCAGGGTGAACAGGGTTCCGAGACCTGATGAGGTGGGAGGTGAGAAGAGCAGAATGGTACCTCAGGGGTCAGAAGGACCCTACTGAGGGGAACCCCCTTAACTTGAATTCAGGGTTTCAGTTCTGAAGTGTTATGGTGGGCCCCAAATTTTGAGCCTCAAAGACTATGCAGAGCTTTCCAGAGGTCCAGAAAGATCCAGACCACTGCCTTTTTTTTTTTTTTTTTTTAATGGCTCTTGATATATATTAAAAATGGAGAAGAGCCAAGAAGAGGGTTACAAAACTTGGGGCATAATTTAAATCATTACATTGAGCAAGTTAAACATTTTTATTCCAGAAATACAATGTATTGTATAATTCTGCTATTCACAATATAGTTACAGAATTAATTTTAAAATATTCGTTCCTCAAGTACTGAAGTTGTTGGATGAATATCTTCTTTCAGTCCTGTTAGGAAATATTTGGGCCTGTATGGCCAATGTCCCTTTGAGATCTCAGACCATGCCACCCACCCCCACCACATACATGCACTCACATACACACACTCGTACATACTCACACTCTCACATACTCATAAACTTACCCATTCCACATACTGATTTCCTTCTGACACACACACATACTGATGCTCACGCATTCACACACACTCACACACCTACCTACTGAGACTTACACACTCATACCCACATGCACACATACAGCATACACACATACATATTCACACACATACATACCCACACACTCACACTCACACACATTCTCACACACAGTCACGTTCACACACCCCATAGGACAAGCCGGACCCTTTGTGGCTCCTGTGTCCTGCAGGGACCCTCTCTGGTCTTCTGTGCTGGGAGCTGGGAGATGAGGCAGGGATTTAAGACCACCTGTCACGGGTGCACTGTGTGGTAAGCTACACACCCCATACCCACTCAATCTCCATCGATCATGGCCTTTTAAATGTTCCACAAGTCCCACGGAAAGAAATCTGTTCAATCGTGCCAAACCACACTGATATCTTGAAGAATTAGTGTTTCACAAAAGGCAACATGTGGAAAAGGGTTAGCAAAAGAGAGTAAAGACACTACAGTAGTCCCCCCATACCCAAGGGACATACGTCCCAAGACCTCAGTGGGTGCCTGAAACGGCGGATACTACCGAACCCTGTAGATACTATCTTTTTTCCTATACGTACATACCTATGATAAAGTTTAATTTATAAATTTGGCACACTAAGAGATTAACAATGGTAACTGATAATAAAATAGAGCAATTATTAAGTAAAATAAGGGTTACTTGAACACAAGCACTGTGATATCGCAACAGTCAATGTGATAACCTAGCCGGCTACTAAGTGACTGATGGGCAGGTAGCGTATACAGTGTGGATACTCTGGACTAAGGGATGACTCACCTCCCAGGTGGGACGAAGTGGCACAGTGCAAGATTCATCACGCTGATCGGAACAGTGGACAATTTAAAACTTATGAATTGTTTATTTTTGGAATTTTCCGTTTAATATTTTCAGACTGCAGTTGACTGTGGGTAACTGAAACTGCGGAAAGGGGAACTGTGGGAAAGGGGGACTACTGTAGTTAGAAGACCATGTGGTGACAGGGCCAGAGGGAAGTGGACACAGGGTTGTATGGGTGGGAAGGGGGCACTGGGCATAGAAGAGCAGGCAAGGCAGGGGAATGGTAACTCCCTTCGCTGATGGATCTGGCCAGCATGGTCTTGGCCAATGTGGATGGTGATGAGAAGGGCCTGGGTGAGGGGGCATATGCAGCCACTTGGGACTGCATCAGGCTGGCTGATGGGTCAAAGCAAGACCAGAGGTGAGGAGAGACATGGAGCTGGCGGCCTGTCTTCTGTTAGAGCTCAGCCAGAGCACAGACTGAGGAATGGGTCAGACCAGGGTGCAGTCCTGGCTCTCTCCTTCTCTCTGTGTGGCCTGGAGAAAAGTCACACAGCCTGTCTGAATCTCGGTGCCTTCCACAAAGGGGGCACGAGATTAGCGCATTTTTCTCAAAGGATATCATGGTCTTGGATGAGATTATGCTGTGCTGAGCTTGGTGTAGGGCTGGTCACACCATACGAGTTTAGTAATATTGGCCGTTGTTGTTGTTTTTGTTAGGTGATGTCAAGTTTGATCCTACTCATAGTGACCCTATGTACAACAGAATGAAACTCTGCCCAGTCCTGCACCATCCTCACAATCATTGCTATGTTTGAGCCCATTGTTGCAGCCACTGTGTCTGTCTTATTGAGGGTCTTTCTATTTTTTGCTGACCTTCTGCTTGGTGTCCTTTTCTAGGGACTGGTCCTTCCTAAGCACGTGGTCATGTACTTAGATACATAGATACCTAAGTACTGGTCACGTCCAAAGTAGATGAGATGAAGTCGCACCATCCTTGCTTCTAAGGAGTGTTCTGGCTGTACTTCTTCCAAGACAGATTTGTTCGTTCTTCTGGAAGCCCATGGTATATTCAATATTCTTCACCAACACCATAACTCAAATGCATTAATTCTTCTTTGGTCTTCCTTATTCATTGTCCAACTTTCTCATACATATGAGGCAATTGAAAATACCATGGATTGGGTCAGGAGCACCTTAGTCCTCAAAGTGACATCTTTGCTTTTTAATACTTTAAAGAGGTCTTTTGCAGTGGATTTTCCCAATGCAATATGTTGTTTGATTTCTTTGCTGCTGCTTCCATGGGCATTGATTGTGGATCTAAGTAAAGTTGGTGACTTCATTATTTTCTCCATTTATCATGGTGTTGCTTATTGGTTCAGTTGTGATGATTTTGTTTTCTTTGTGTTGAGGTATAATCCATAATGAAGGCTATAGTCTTTGATCTTTATCAGTAAGTGCTTCAAGTCCTCTTCACTTTCAGCAAGAGAGGTTGGGTCATCTGCATATGGCAGGTTGTTAATGAGTCTTTCTCCAATCCTGATGCCATGTTCTTCTTCATACAGTCCAGCTTCTTGGATTATTTGCTCAGAATACAGATTGTAGGAGTATGGTGAGAAGATACAACACTGACACACTCCTTTCCTTGATTTTAAACCATGCAGTATCCCCTTGTTCTGTTGGAACAACTGCCTCTTGACTGTGGTATTGCTACTGAATTCACATAATAATCATCCAAGGTATGGCAATTTAAACATGGCTAATATGAGGTCTCTGGGTGGCACAAACGGCTAAGCACTCAACTACTAACCCATCTAGAGGCTCTGTGGAAGAAAGCCCTAGCAATCTGCTTCTGTAAAGATTACAGCCAAGAAAACCCTAGGAAGCAATTTTACTCTGTCACACATGGAGTCACCATGAGTTGGAATTGACTCTACAGCAATGGGTTTGGTTTTTGGGATATGAGTAAATGTGGACAAAGAATCCTCATGTTATTTTCCTTAAATCTCAAACCTGATTTGTATTTCTAGATTCATCCATATTTCCTGGGTCAACTTTAAAAACAGCTTTGTTAACTGGAATGAAGAACTTTCTCTTCAAGCTGTGTGTGAAGACTGTGGTGATATACAAGATCTTTCTTATTCCTGGGACCTCTTTTTAGTCAACGCAACAGAACAGTATAGTATAGAAGGTAAAAATTGTTTTATTTTGTTGACTGAGGGGAAAAAAAATCAAGCTTATTTTGAGATTGCTTAAACTTTGCAAAATTCGGTTGGTTTTGAAGTAAGTGTACCAGATCACCACCACTGACTTACTGTGCTTCCCTCTGTACTCCTGTGGATTGCTGTGATAGCAGCAGAAAATATGTATGATTCAAATGCTGTTTCTAACCCTTGTTGCTGTATGGGAGGCTGATTCCAATATTCATTTAGACAGTTTTATTGGCTTATGAATACAATAAGTTCTTTGAAATGACAAGTGCTTTGACTTACTGTTCTAGGGGCCGATGTCCCTTCATGACCTTGCTTGCTCTTTAGGACAGCCGTGCTTGAGGGAATGTGCTGAGATGCAGGAGTCAGAAGACCCTGTCCAGTCCTGGCTCAGCCCTGCTTTAAGCAATTCTCTATGATTCAGTTTTCTTGGGTGAAAAGTGAGGTTCACAGTACTTCACAGGGTAGTGGTAGGGTTAAATAAAATAAGATGTGAAAACCTGCCTGCACTGGTGGTGTGATGATTGGCCATTAGGTGTTGTGTGATACCTGGGCTTGAATCAGGAGCGAGGTTGAGTTCGTATTCAGGTGAATTAAATGATGCTTGTAATAAGAGCACAAAGGAGCTTTCATTTCTGAGCTGGATGGTGAATTCTTTCAACAAAAGCTTGTACCTACTATGCCTTCACTGACCTTATAAACTTAACTTTCAATCCTTTCATTGGGGACATATAAAGGCTTCTATAAGCAGAGCTCTGAGTACAGCTGGTCTCAGTGGTTAAAAGAATGTGAAGACATAGAGTGCAATTGTGCCTTTCTTCGCAAGAGAGGGACTCCTAGATTCTTTTAGATAAATTTAATTTTTTTCCAAATCAAAGCCCACACCAAATGTATCAGACGAACTTGCAGTAGAAATACACCCAGTGGCTGAACTTCCAGCAAAGTGAATGATTGCCCCTAGTTAGGTATGTCTCACCCTCCTTATATCAGTATAATATACATGGCTTTCCCAGGTAGAAACTAAAGGCTTACTTAAGTGAGACGTCATTTTTATGTCCAAGGAGATGTTTTCTTTGTTATTGATTCTTTATTGTAAATCCTAAGGACAACAATTTTTAGAATTGTTACACTAGACACTGACAAGTAGGTGAGTGGGGATTAGGAGAAACCCTGTGTGCCCAAGATTGTTTCTAGAATGCACATGAATAATCCATGCTAGGCAGAGGCATATCTATGGAAAATAGTGTCTGTGGGAAGTATGGAAATTGCGTCCCTGCTGGGGCGAAGTAAGGGTAAGGAGCACCCAGGGGCAATCTCTAAGTTGCATCCTCCCTCACCCCCCAATTTCAAGATGTATGGACATTAATAGTAGCCACGTGTCAGCAGTAACGCCTTCCCCCTTCTTGTCCGGCTGCCTCAGTCAGGCACCTTTCATATTTGTGGTGCCTCAGAATGTCATTCATGCCTCATCTGGCACCCCTTGGACTTGCGCCTGGGGCAAGTGCCGCCCTCTGTGCCCCGCCCCCGCCTCCCCATCACTGTGCCTCTGTGACTGCCGTGCTTAAGGAAGGACGTTGGTCCTTACTGGGTTAATAGAAACTGCTCAGTGGACCCCCTCCCCCTTCAAGTGGCACCTAGGGTACGTACCCTACCTACCATACCTTAGATATACCTCTGATGCCAGAGGTTTATAAGATTTGGCAGGCCACCCTCTCAGGTCAATACAGGGACTGAGGGAGAGCAAATCCCAGGTAAAATGATTGTATAATCCTGGGTCCTACTTACACACATTTTGCATGCCACTGTTAGTCTACATGCCACCAGATGGAACCATAGCTCTACTGCATTTATCTTATAAGTGTAGATTTTCAAATTGTCAGATTTGCTTAAAATGGAGCAAACTTGTACTATTTATAGACTTTTAAAAACAAAAAAAATATTTTTTTTGGTCCAAACTTTTAATACTGTTACATGTTTTTTTAAGCCCCTTTGTGTAGAGTTGTACGGCTACTGGATTCTTCGAGATTTGGTGCTATTTTGAAGTTATCAGAGTCAACCCCACTGTTGGTGGAGCCAAACACAACAGACCCGGGTTTAACAACCGTGCCATTGTCCCAGGAGCCTCTGCAGAAGACAGTTGGCCAGTCTGCCCCTTCAGCCATGGGGAGACCCTCCCAGGAAACCACAGTGGGTGTCTACCAGGTTTTTGCTGCTGATGCTGATGCTTCAGGCCAAGAGGATGCTCCTGGGGAAGCAGCACTGTCCGCAGAGCCAGAGTTACTGGAAGAGGGACCGCCAGTGACTAGCCCTTGGGAGAGAGAGAGGCCATCAGGAAGTCCACACCCACAGAACCTGTCCTCCTACCTCTCTGGTAATCATCACTGTCTTTGCATGTTGTCCCATTGGTCTGTGCATCAAAGTTTCCTTTGGAAGCAATGATTGTGGTAGTCTAGGTATGAAACCACATCAACACAGGCCTTTAAATCAGAGAGCACCAGGTTTGTAACCACCACCTGCTAAACTGTGCAGATTTTAGTCTCAGTTTCCTCATCTCTAAGCTGAGAAAATAATGGTGCCCACCGCAGTGGGTTCTGAGAATGAAGTGAGATCTCATATGGATAGTATCTGGGCTATAGTAAGTGTTGAATAAATATTAGTTTCCTCATCCCTCTTTCCTTCCCTAATAATCACGTGGTTGACTTTATCATTGGTCATTGGTTTTTAGGTTGAACTGAAACTATTTCTGTGCTTAAAAAGCTGAGAGAAAAGTTCATTGTCAGTGAGGAAAGTTCAGCTTCTTTTTCCCTTGATGTCCCTAACCCAGTGACTCCATGAGATTTCACTGCTCACTCAGGCAACAGTACTGTCTTTGTGTACCCTGCGGATGCCACTGTACTCAAGGCTCCATGCTGGGGTTAGCTAGTTAGACAGGAGCTCTGTGGGTGCCTCAGCCTTTGGAAAGGAGGGCTGAGGGGACAAAAACGCAGCATTTGCAGAAGAATGCTCTTATGTCCATTTCTCTCCTTCAAAGAGAAGGGAGTGAGAAGCGTTCGCTAAAAGAACAGTGAAAAACATGCCAACGAGACGAAAGAACGCTGGGTGTGGAGTCCAAAGAGCTCAGTTTGGAGTGTGGACCTCTCCCTTATTAGCTGGGCTGTTTTAGGAAACCACACACCTACTTGAAACTCTGCCTCCTTCTTGGGAGGCATGGGGACAGTGACACCTGCCTCCGCCAGTGGTTATGATGACAGAGTGAAACACTGTATTGGAGGGTATTTTGTAATCTACAAAGTAATATACAGACTCTAGAAATAGACCAGTGATTAAAGTTTTGGTCTATCAGGAGAGTCAGTATTAATTTCAGTAGAATCTGTGATTTTAAATGAAACATTATGATTTTGCTTTTTCACATAGATTTTGAAGCTTACTATGATGATATACAAGAAGCAATACCCTCAAAAGGAAGACAACCAGGTGACTATGATTCTGGTTGCTGCCTCTTTCCTTAGCCCTCTGTGTCCGTTCTTCCTTCACTCCTATCTATCCTTCACCCTCTTTTCTGAAATCCAAACCTTTTCTGAAACGCCACTGCCTTCCATCAAGGCCACTGACAGCTCCCCAGAGTCAAAGGGAAAAGTGTAGACTCCTGTTCACGGCACAACCTGGCCCAAACCTATATTCCTAGTTCATCTGCTTCTGCACTTCCTACCTTCTGTGCTTCAAAAACCTGACAGTAGTCCCAGGCCCAAAGGTGGCATGCTCCCTCTCCCATGACTTGGTTCACGGGCTCTGAAGAGAATGCCTCCTTCACATTCTCCCCAACTTGTCTGCCTGGTGAGCTTCCTTCTTTGAGGTCTGATTCAGTGACCACCTCTCTGGGAAGCCTTCCACTGTCTTTCCTTGTATTCCCTACAGTTATTTCCTCACACAACAGCCAGAGTCATTTTGGAGCTCAAGCAGATTGTTGCTCTCCTGCACCAATCCTCCAAGGGCTTTCCTTTACACTTAGGATAAACAGCAAGAGCGATGGCCCAACATTGGCCCCTGGCCATTTCTCCAGCCTCATTTAACACCATCTTCCCCTGACTCATACCCCTAACCACAAAATAAAAGATCATTCCCATAGCATTTTCTTTTTACCCAACCTGGAACCTTCTTCCTTTAGACCTTCAAATAACTCATTCAAGTCTTTGCTCAGAAGCTGTCCTCAGAGAGGGCTTCCTTGACCACCCCCCTTCCAGTCCTGTCACTCTCTGCGTATATACCCTGCTTTGTTCTTCTTCATGGCACTTACCTTTACCTGACTTCATATTATTTATCTAAATATGTTCTTGTTTATTTTTCTGACTCCCTGTCTAGTAAATTCTAGATAGCAGGGACTCTGTTGATGTGGCTCACTGTTGTAACTCCAGGTTCTAGAATAGAACTTAGGGCTTAGTAGACCGTAATAAATATTTGTAGAATAAATGAATGAATGAAGAAAAGAATATGCAATTTTACTACTAATTGTATGATAACAAAGCACGCCTCTTGAATATGATTAATTTCTAAAGATACTATTTTAGATATGTGGTATCCAGCAATAGTAGAAATAGTTATTAATATAATTTTAAAATCATTAATGATTTAAGAAGATTATTATGAGTTTTTTTCTTTGTCATCCACTAGCTTAATTTATCTTCTCAGGGAACAGTGTGAACTTTCCCGGATCAGAACCAAGTGGAAGTGATGACAAAAGCCCCAGTGAAGGGGATAACCTGGTCGGTCCATTCCACTCCATGGGCAGTGCCGTGCCCTCACTGATGATTGACTGGCCCAAGTCCCTGATTAGACGGGCTATTTTCCAAGGTTATACCTCATCAGGTATGAACCACCTCTGCATGCTGGATTTTGCAGCTGTTTCAGAATGATTTGGATATCAGCCCTTCAACTTCTTCTGTAGATTTTTTTTAATCGATAAATATTTGGAATCCTTGTTTCTAGTCATCATTTTGTTATATCTTTCATACCTTTTCACCTTGAGTTTGTCTCTCCGTAGACAATATAGAGTCTGAGGCTCTTTTACCAAAGGTAGAATTAGCTCCTGTACCTACAGAAACTCCATGTTTGCAGATTGAAATGCCAGTTCCAAGTGTAAAGAGGAAGAGAGCCATTAGTCAGCTTCTGCATGTACAGGCCCAAGAGAATCAGTATTTGCTGAGTGTGCCTCAAGATCCTTGTGTGCACACATCTCTGTTATGGACTTCTACAGTGTAGATGAGTCATTTGTATGTATTGATCAAAACAAAGCTGTTCCTGAATTAGAGCTGAGATTTAACCTATTTTTACCACCACAGATTTAATTCCACTTACTGGACTGCATCTTTAATAGTAATACATATGATTGTGGTGTAACAATGAAGTTCTCTGGAGGGCCTCTGGGTCTCACAATGTCATTAAATAATGTACTCCTCACGGTTTCCTCACAAGACTTCAGGAAATACTGCTTTAAAATTGTTATTTTTAAAATGTGGCCCTGTTTAGATGATCGATCTTGTATGTCAGATCTTTTCTATTTTCAGGGAGAGTAATGAAGGTAGATGAGGGTCAGTCTCCACTTGCTGAGGAAGTAATCCACTCACCCTCTGGTCAATACTTACACCCAGATTTCAGTATACTTTCATAACCAACACCCTGCAAAGACTACAAAATTGCTTTGAAATAAATTAACCATATTTCGTGGATAAAATAAATTGATAAAATAACTAAATATTCAACCTGATTTTAAATATATATGTTCTTACCAGCATTCTCTTGTTGCTTGGGAAATTAGTGCCGTTTCCCAGCCAGAGATGACTGGGTCGTTCTCAGGACAGCTTCTGTTGGGCAGGGGAAGACTGGAGATGAGCTTTTAGCTCTTTAAAGGGGGTTGTTAATGAACAAAATAAAGGCAGTTCCCAAGTCAGAACAGGTGCATTTAATTCGTGTGGCTGAAACCTATAATGAAGGAACTCGTCTTACCTCTTTATGGAGTCATCTTGTCCCTCAGAGTCCAACTAATCACTGTTTCCATGTGCACACCTCCTTTTCTGTAGGTATCATGGAACAAACTGTGACAGTAAAGCCATTTTCACTGAGAAGGGGAGAGACATATGTCATACAAGCTTCTGTGGGTATGTGAAGATTCCTATTGGATTTGGTTCAGGGAAACGGGAAGGGTTATAGATATATTAATATTTTTCCCCCTAGAAATTACTTCTGACCCTCACAGGCTCTTGTTCCAGCGAGTTCTGACTCTTCCCTTTCTCCCTGCTGTCACTTTCCTGCCCATTACTGCCCACTTATATTAGAGGACAGGAGAAGGAGCTACTAACGCGTTTCCTCATGGACTCGGGTGGATGGATCTGGGTCACGGCTGGGCAGTTGCCTGAAGTTTTTTGTTCTGATTATTATTTTTTTTAATTTCACACCTTTTATTTGTGCTGAACAACTGGATAAGTTGATCCCCTCCTTGCAAATTTGCAAATAATTGCTACATGCATTTAAAACCCAACAAAGTGTTATTACGATTGTCTTGTGCGATTGATATTGTTTTAAATTTACCCACAGATTTATCGTTTTTCAGTGCTTTTTTGCATGTGTATGATTCAGTCTGAGGTTTTTTCCTTCTGCTTCAAGAAATATTCCTTTATTATAATTTGTTTTAGTGCAGTCTGCTGGTTACAAATTCTCCAAGTTTTTGTCTGTCTCAAAATGTCTTGAATTAGCCTCCATTTTTTAAGGACTTTTTTTTGTGTGTGTGTGTGCAGATTTGGAAGTTGACAGCTGTTTCCTTTCAGCATTTTAAAGATGTCCCTTCATTGTATTCTGGATTTTATCATCAGCTCTGAGACTTATTATTGTTCCTTTGAAGGAAATGGATTTCCCCCACTTACCCCCTGCCCCCTCTTAACCTCCCTCATCCCCACTTCCCTCCACCCCTTCCTGGGCTACTTTTAAATTTTCTCTTTGTTCCTGGTCTTCAGCAGCTTTACTATGATGTGCATCAATATAGTTTCCTTTGTATGCATCCTTCTTGGCGTTCATAGCACTTTTGGACTTAGTGGTTCAATGATTTTCATCAGTTTTGGAAAATTCTCAGCTATTGTATCTTTTAACATTGCTTCTTTCACGTTTTCTCTTGCTTTTTCCTGCGAGACTTCAGTCCCAAAAGTGTTAGATCTTTTTGCCATGCCCCATATTTCTCTTACACTTCTTTCTTTATTCTCCATTCTTTTGCTTCTCCATTCTTCATTCGGAGTATTTTCTACCAACATATCTCCCAGATTACTAGTCTTCTCAGCTATGGGCAATCTGCTGTTAAAACCATCATTTGAGTTCATTTTAATTATTATAATTTTTCAGTTTTAGAATTTTTACCTAATTTTTTTCCATAGTTTCCAGTTATTTGATCAAAATTTTCACTGATTTTTTAAATGTATTAATCACACTTATTTTAAAATTCATGTCTACAAACTATGGTATATCCACACAATGGAATATTATGCAACGATAAAGAACAATGATGAAGCTGTGAAACATCGTATAACTTGGCAGAAGCTAAAACTTATTATGCTGAGTGAATTTAGTCAGGCACAGAAGGACAAATACTGTATAAGACCACTATTGTAAGAACTCAAGAAAAGGTTTAAACACAGAAGAAAACATTCTTTGATGGTTATGGGGGTGGGGAGGGAGAGTGAGGGTTATTCACTAACTATATAGTAGATAAGAATGATCTTAGGTGAAGGGAAGGACAGCACACACTACAGGGGAAGCCAGCACAACTGGGCTAAACCAAAGCTAAGAAGTTTCCTAAATACAATAAATACTTTGAGAGACAGAGTAGCAGGGATGCGGGGTCTGGGGACCATGCTTTCAGGGGACATCTATGTCAATTGGCATAACAAACCTTATTAAGAAAATGTTCTGCATCCTACTTTGGTGAGTGGCGTCTGGGGTCTTAAAAGCTTGCAAGCAGCCATCTAAGATGCATCAATTCGTCCCAACCACTTGGAATAAAGGAGAACGAAGAACACCAAAGACACAAGGAAAGTACTGGCCCAAGAGACAGAATGGCACATAAACCAGAGACTTCATCAGCCTGAGACCAGAAGAACTAGATGGTGCCTGGCTACCACCAATGAACATCCTGACAGGGAACACAACAGAGGGTCCCTGATGGAGCAGTAGAACGATGGGATGCAGAACTCAAATTCTAGTAAGAAGACCAGACTTGATGGTCTGACTAAGACTGGAGGCGCCCCAGAAAGCATGGCCCCTGGTCTCTCCATCACCCCAGAACTAAAACGATTTCTGAGGCCAACTCTTCAGACAGGGATTGGACTGGACTGTGGGACATAAAGTGATACTTGTGAAGAATGTGCCTCTTATACAAGTAGCTACAAGAGACCAAAGGGGCGGCTTCTGTCCAGAGGTGAAAGGGGAAGGCAGAGAGAGTTAGGAGCTGGTTGAATGTTCTTGGGGAATCAGGGGTGGAGGGGAGGAGTGTGCTGTCACAGAACGGGGTGAGCGGTTGGGATCTCATAACAATGTATGTTAAAAAAAAAATTCTGTATGGGAGACTAACTTGAAATGTAAACTTCATTTAATTACAACAATAAAAAAAAAATTCATGTCTAAAAACTCCAACATCTAGGCCATATGTTGGTCTCTTTTAAATATCTGTTTTTTCTTTTATTCTCCACTCTTGAAAGATATGCCTGGTAACTTTTTATTTGAATGCCATTGTGATGATAAGTGGTTGAGACTCTAGATGATGTCACTTCCTCTACAGAGAATTTACTTTTGGGTTAGGCAGCAGTTAGAGAGGGGACATTACACCTTAAACCATCTGGGACTGAACTTATTTGAGGCTAGGCTTCAGTCTTGCTGAAGCTGATCTATTGTCACTCTTACCCCTGCAGTGAGCTTTGGGGATCTCTACTGATGTGTATACTTGTCTACTTTCTTCTAGTCTGGCCCAGAATGCAATGTTTTTCCTCTCTCAGTGCTGTGAGACTACTGAAACCTCTGACTTTTGGGCTTCCTGTTTTCAACGCATGCTTTGGGGAAAAAAATGGAGCGGCATATATGCTTTACCTCAAAGCATTTTCCTTCTCTCTGGGATCTTGGTCTCTCAAGTCCTCCCTGTTTTGGGAGTTACCCAGTGCTTTCAAACATACTTTAAAAAATTCATTATCAAACTTTCTAGTTCTCAGTGAGAGGCTTGATCTATACATGTCAGCTATACATTTTTATACATAACCTATACATGTCAGGTACAGCTTTATGTTCCCATTATATTTAGATACCCCCTCCTTTCAGGTGGAAATCCTGGTGGCATAGTGGTTAAGTGCTATGGCTGCTAACCAAAAGGTTGGCAGTTCGAATCCACCAGTCGCTCCTTGGAAACCTTATGGGGCAGTTCTACTCTCTACGTAGTAAGCAACCCCAGTATGTATCTGTTATGTTAATGAATGCTGTATAGCAGTGGTTCTCAAACTTTAGCCATATCAAAATTACTTGGAGGGCTTGTTAAAACAGATTGCTGGACCTCACCCCCAGGGTTTCCAATTCAGTAGATCTGAGGTGAAACCCACAAAATTGTACTTCAAACAACTTCCCAGGTGATGCTGATGCCGCTGGTCCAGGTACCACACGATGAGAACCACTGCTATAAAGCTGTGCCATTAAAAATACAGTCCTATGCTACTGTAATTCCCTATATGGGTGTAATTTCCATTTAATCTTTCTCTTCAGCTTCGAAACACACCTTGCTAGGTAAAGCTCAGCTGTACTTGACAGTCAACAAAGGCCCCCAGGACGTAGCCTGTCAGGTACAGCCCCATCATGGCCACGAGGCGCACACCATCTTCAGTGTTTTCTGCATGTCAGGAAAACCGGTACGTATTGGCAATCCCCTGTCATCACAAAAGATCAAAGGCAGTGGCAACTACTGGAAGTTATGGCAAGCTCTTTGGATAAAATTCTGAAGAAATATAAAGCATCGTCCTTCTCCACCTGGGAAGGGATTTGGCTTCAAGTTCACGTTGGAAAGTTGCTGACGCATGGGCAGAGTCATCTCCTTCCCCTACCATCCTCCCCGTGATGAGAGGAGTCTAGAATGGCACCCAGGCTAAAAGGAAGCACGTTCTGAGAGGAGGCAAAGTCTGAGCAGGGTCAAGCACAGGGAGGCAGGAATGGCACAGGGTGTAGAAAACGGTGCCCACTCACCAGGACACGTAGCTAGGGACATGTACTGCCTCGAAGTACAGTCGGAATGGGAAGGCTTCAGTTAGTGCTGGGGCAGCGAAGCAGGCACTGTGCCAGAGGATAGACTGGGGTATTTAAACTGACACGTCTGAATTCAATTCCTGAGTCCACCTGCAACTCAGTCTTTGAAGCCTCACCTTCATAACTTGTGCAGTGGAGAAAACAAATGTGTTGTTTTCTTTTGTTTGTTTGTTTTTTTGCACAGGGAGTTGTCAGTGTCAAATGCGAGGATGGGTTTAAAATACCTAGTGTTCCATCCTGAGGTTGGGTAGCAGGACTGCAGTAGTTATAACGACTCGGATGATTTGATGGGACCTGGACTTGCTATCATGGCATTGCATCAATCTTCACCATTCTCTTGGCCATAGACATCTGACTTTCCCTGTCCTTGTGTCCTGCCCATGTTGTCGCTTCTGTCAAGAAACCATCCTTGTCCTCTCAGTGGGGTCCGAATCCCGGCCTTCATTCAAGGCCTAGTTCACATGCCCTCTGCTTCTAAACATGAAATCGTTTCACATGAACTTCTTGCTATCTTGTGCTTCTACCTCTGCTTCGCATCCCAGAGGCTGGAAAGCTGAGGTTGCTCCAGGAGGCCAGTGGTGGTCTATGATTCTGCAACCATGGGAGGGTCTAGTGCAGGGAGAGCAAAAGAGCCCAAGTAACAGATCCAGGCCAAAATCCAAAGATAACAGATTCCTCTTTGTGGGAAAGCCCTTTGACTCTGCAGAGTGGGCCCCTGATGGGAAGTAAGCTCAGGTATGCTGTGAATTTATGGACCCTATTTAGATATTGGGAGTCCGTGGGTGGTACAAATGGTTAACACGGTTGGCTGCTAACCAAAAAGTAGGAGGTTTGAGACTACCCAGAGGCACCTCGGAAAAAAGGCCTGGTGGTCTACTTCTGAAAAATCAGCCATTGAAAACCCTGTGTGGGGTCATCATGAGTCAGAATCACCTCCACAGCAGTGGGTTTCGGGTTTGGTTTAGTTATTATTTGGCTTTTTCCTGTCTTTAAAAAAATATTCTTAGGTGGAATGAAGGATGTAGCCGTGTACATATTTATTGTTGATATAATTCCCAGTTTGTTCATCTACACTATTTTTTGCTCCCTATGGAATGGATTTATAGGACTTTCACTATGAATTTAGCTACCAGATAGGAAATGCCTCCAAACGTACTTTGTACCGTGGAAGAGATACCCAGTATTATTTTGCTTTGCCAGCTGGTGAGCCATTGGACAGTTATAGAGGTAAGTCACAGTGTAAATTTGGTTTATGGCTATGCTTACTTAGGGTTCAAGCCCTTTTTTCCTGGTTTCAAAAACTGCGAAACTATCTAGAAAATAAATTCTTATTTATTCGTTTTGATAAGCTTAACACTTTTCAATTTAGGCTGGTTCCTACTTTGTAGTACAGAAAGAAAATTAATAATATGTTCAATAAATTAATTTTTATATCTGAAGTTTTAACTGCAATGTAAAGTAAACGATAAAATGACAAAAGAATCTTTTTTTCTATATGAATTAAAAATTTAAGACCAAGATACCCCTTAATTGCTAATGAAATACATCATATCTGGTGAATCTTGCGTTCGTTATAGTCTAAACCAAATCAGGGTACCTCCCCAAAGAAGAAAATGTGAGGGTAAAGGAATATTGAAGAAGCTTTGGAAGTCAGAACTGAGCTAGCATGTTAGAATCTCAAAACAAAATGAATTTCATAGTATTGACAACTTCCTCCTCCCATCCCTAATGTCTTGTCCAGTTCTACACCAGCCCCTGGGAACTGGTCTCAACTTAATGGATTAGTGATACAGCCATTTAGGAAAGTTTCTGGGTCTGCAGAACCCAAAACGAGTTAAATTAGAATCTCCAGGGTGAGAGTTTTCTTCAAACTTCTAGATGATTCCAATGTGCAGTCAAGGTTGAAAGTCATCGATCTAGAAGTTTCTTTGGTTTGAGCTAGTAAGATTATTTCAGCCTGAAGTATGAACTAGTTCAGTTCACCTGATTTAATTAAATCCCACTTCTCCTTTTAGCCCAGCTAAAATGTACTTTTGTTTGTGAAACTGCCTGACACCTCTCATTTGAAGCACTCGGACCTTCTTCTAGATTCTGGTCAATTAAATTGAGCAAAAATTTACTGAGAAGAATGCTTTGTAATCTTTTTTTTTAAATTTTATTTATTTTGTTGTTGAGAATATACACAGCAAAACATATACCAATTCAATAGTTTCTACATGTATATTTCAGTGACACTGATTACATTCAAGTTGTGCAACTATTCTCACTCTCTTTTTCTGAGTTGTTCCTTCCCTATTAATATAAACTACTGCGCCTTAAGGGTCCTCCTATCTAATCTTTCAAGTTGCAGTTGTCAGTTTGATCCCATATAGATAGATCTTAAAAGAGCATAATGCTCAGTGCAGACATTCTTTACTAGTTAAACTAAACTGTTGTTTGGTTTTAAAAAGATTTCAGGGAATATTTTTGGTTTAAGGTTTAAAGATTATCTCACGGCAGTAGTTTCAGGGGTTCTTCCAGCCTCCATGGTTCTAGAAAGTCTGGAGTCCATGAAAATTTGAAATTCTGTTCTGCATTTCCCTGCTTTTGATCAGGATTCTTCTATAGAATCTTTGATCAAAATATGCAGTAATGGTAGCCGGGCACCATCCATTTCTTCTTGTCTCATGGCAAAGGAGGAGGTTGTTCTTAGGGACAATTAGCCACACATTCCATTTCCTCCTCCTAGTCCTGACTCTCCTTCTTCCTGTGTTGCTCCAGGTGAAAAGAGACCAATTTCTGTGCCTTAGATGGCTGTTTGCAAGCTTTTAAGACCCCAGGCACTACGTATCAACTAGGAGGTAGAACAGAACCACTAAACATGTTATTAGGCCACTTAACTGGGATGCCACATTAAAACCATGACCCTAAACCTCCAAACCAAGGAATCAAATCCCATGAGGTGTTTGGTTGTACATAAACAGCCTCAACAGCTACTCTGTTTTTGTTGTTGTTGTAAATGTGTTTATCACACAACTTTTGCTAATTCAACATTTTACGGATGTACAGGTTACTGAGATCATTTACAGTAATCTGCTGTGCAATCCTACCCTTAATCAATGTGATTGTTCCATCACCATAAACTGAAACTCAGTACTCCATAAGTAATAAACACCCCTCTTCCCTCTCCCTTCTACCTCTGGCAACCACTAATAAACTTTGATCTCTATATGTTTGCCTTTTTTTGTCTTTTTAAGTAAGCGAGGTCATACAATATTTGTCCTTTTGTGATTGACTTACTTTACTCTTTGTAATCTTTTAGGGGATCATGTTCTTTCTGCTTTCTATCACAATTAGTTTGTATTCCTAGCTTATCTTTTTAAGGCTTCTTGAGGTCAAGCAACAAGACTAATTAGCACAGTAAATGTTGCTTGAATGGATGAATGCGGTTTTCAACAGCCTGCCTTAATAAATTCTTAAACAATAAAATTGTACTCACCCTCCATGTTGGAGAATTTCTTATCCAAATGGATGCTCCTCCCAAGCTACCCCACTTATTGAAGTTAGGCGTGTAGGCCTGGATTTATCCTAAGAGCTGGGTCTTAACAGGATTTGCCTCTAGAGGAGAGAAAGCAAAAGCTATGATGGACATCCCTCTCATGGAAGCTGGTTATACTACAACTTGGCAGTGCCTTTCATAGAATAGTGTATACAGGGGTATATGGGACTGCTGCCAGTGAGGCCATCTTTAGACTACAGGACCAGGGTAGACATCCAAATAAAAGAAGCTTGGGGCAGGGCCTTAGCTCTGTGTTGGAAGAAACGGTTTCTTAATGTAAATTTATAGAACCAACATTTAGTTTACTGTCATTGAGAAGTGTCAGGGTTAGTAATTTACTCAATAAATGAATAATTTCTTTTATAAGGATCAGCACAAAGCTGGTTCCTATGAGGCGGAGGTTAAAGATGTCCCAAATGTCTAACTTTTCCAAGCTGCTGTACCACTCCAGGATCTCTAACATCACCTACTCCCTCTCGCCTCAGTACTCTCCCTCCTGTCTTTGGGTTCCCTAATTCACTGCACAACCATATAAAAAAGTCACAAACCATATAAAAAAATGGCTCACGTGGTTGTGGAAGCTGGCAAGTCCCAAAATCGTGGGTCCCTCGGTCTTCTTCTTCTTCTCCCTGACCCTCAGTTTCTGCCCAAAGGCACTCAACTTTCTCGCTCCATGGGCGGGGAAGCCCACTGTGCCTCCTTCCGGTTTCTGCTGCGGGTCTCTGCTGCAGGTCTCTTCTTCTTTGGTGGTAGTGGCTCTCCTGTCTGCTCTGGAATTGGCTCTCTTTTAAGGCAAAACTGACCAATCTCCTCAGTGGGCCACAATTATCTTATTTGCACAGCCCCACCCAGTCACTTGGGTGGGAGTCACAAGACTAGAAAGGCCACACACAAAAAGAATCAATTGTACTACATTCATATAATTCAAAAACATGTTATCTGGTTGTAATTGTCAATATCAATATTATCAATTCCTGTGAATATCTGAACTCAAGATTTTTTGGAGAGAAAGGATAAGCAAAATAAGTACATTTTGATGGATATTTAATACATATCTTATCCTGTGCCATCTCTTGCATTAATGTCATAAAGGTCTCTCAGACTCAATATGTCAGAACTGAATAGAATCTTACCTGAAATATGTTGCTTCTACATTCTCTGTCTTGATTAACAGGACCAATGTTATCACTTCGGTACTTGTTAAAACTGCAGCTTCCAGGGCCCACCCAGTATCTACTGACCCAGAATCTTGGGGAGATGATGAAGCCCAGAATTTGCTTGTAGATACTGGTGATCCGGATGCAAATGTCCATGGACCACATTTTGAGAACTATTGACTTTCAAAATTAAGTCTCATACTTCTTAGCATTGTGTTTTGGGTTGAAGATATTCTCATAAAGACATCTAGAGTGCAACTATGCATTGACCTTCCTGCATGGTTCATTTGGCCATATCTGTGGCCCTTCACCACATGGCGTCATCTACCCTTCTGAGCTTCGCCTGCAGGTTTTCTCACTACAAACTCTGGGCCCATGTCACATAAAATGAATCCCGAGTTTCCCAATAAGCCGTTTCCTGCTATGCTTCTATCTCTACATGCAAACCTGCAGAATTCATTCAGAAATCCTTTTCACTTTGTTTTCTAAACCTGTCATATTTCTATACATCATTTAGGAACTGAAATATATCCCCAACCCTTGATCTCCACTGCAGAATTTCATTCTTTGGGGCTCCATGGTCCCCACGTCATATCTTTGTTTCAGCATCCACCGTGTTTTTAATGGGACTCTAATCCTGAATACACTGAATTGCTTGAGGGCAGAGACTGGTCCTTGTCACCTGTGGCATCTTAGACAGCAGCAGGCACATAACACTTGCTGGTCAAATGAATGAGTGAGTGAGAGCATGAGAATGAATGAATCATTTCCTGATCCCTAAGACACAGTGGTCTCTTCTACTTCTCACTTGTGACACCTGCTGTCTGCCCCTATCTGTTTGGCACTCACTGTCTTGTACTGTTGCTTAATTTTTTATTCCAGTATGTTGAGTCCCCCTAGAAGAATGGAAGGACCTTAAGTTCAGCACTCAAACCTTGCTTTGCTTTGATATCCCTTGTATCATATCCTTCCTCACTGTGCTAGGCACACAGATCTACTCAACAGAGATTCTATTTATTGATTTTCTGATGTCCAGAGTATAAGCAGTTTGGAAGGGAACACAGCTTGCAATTTTATCTCTCCCTGAGCTTTGCCAGAACTGAGCCCATCCTCAGGCATTGTTCAATTGGCATCGGTAGATGAAGAAGCATCTCTGTAGCCTGTATATCCAGAATGACTCTCTTCTGCCATGTTCTCTTACAGTCATGGTTTTCACTGAGATCACAGATGGCGAAGGCTCCAAGTTACAGCCCTGTGCTGTGGTAGTGACCGTGCTGCCCCGTTACCGTGGGAACATAGCCTCTGCAAATTACTGCCTGGGCGAGGATCTGTGAGTAACGGCGCCCTGAGACTCCTAGAACAGTGTTTGATTTCCTCCAGAGATGACTCTCCCCTAAATTGGCCACAAGATGGAGTGAAAGAGTGGCAGAGACTCATTTTCTCAGAATGAGCAAAAGAAGTAGATATGCCTCTACCACTATAATCCTACTAACTGGTATTTCCATAATTTTTGTGTATGTGCTTCAGAGCCTAAAAAGCACTTTCTTCTTTTTGTTTTACAGTTTCATTGAGATACCATTTACGTACCATATAGTTCACCCATTCAGAGTGGTCTTAGTATGTTTACAGAGCTATGCAATCATCACCATAGTCTAATTTTAGCACAGTCCCATCGTCCCCCAAGCTCTTGTACTCATAGCAGTCACTCCCCATCCACGTCACCCCCCAAAAGCATTTTTATAATTGACTCTTTGCTTTGATTCTGTGTGATTTTGTTCAGATGAATACTTACTTTAACCATTGGGAAACTGTGCCCTTCTGTGTCCAAATAAGGGAAATATGCAGTTTGTAAACAAACAAACAAATGAATAAACAAATAAATGCCCAGTGATTGAAATCTGAAGTCATAAATTTGTGGGTTTACATCAAGCCACAAGTAGAATGCAGGTGTACACTCTATTACGGATTTAGGCATTAACAGCCAACTTCACTTATTTGGATGCTTGTGAACATTTTGTCAGCTATAGCTGTGGTCATATCTTTGTCTGACTCCAGACTCCATTCCCTCATTTGCCATGATGCTTCTCTATCATTTTCTGTTTTGTCTTCTTGTTCCTGTTTCGGTGCTGAAAAGACATTTGAGAGAATATCATTAACTGTAGGCAAGAAAATGTGTGGTTTCTTGATCTGCCTGAGACAGTCTCCTTTCCATTCCTTTGCTCAGAAGGTCTTTGATTTACGGTTCTTTTATACCTCCCACAATCAATTTCCCTCTCCCTTTTCCCTACACCCTACCCAGCGGCAGCAACTGTTGACTTACCAGGTATTCGCTGTTAACTGCTCCATGATTATTTAGTGTAGATTGTGCATGAACAAAGAGTATGTGTTTTCTGAGGTTGTAGCTACAGTTAGCAAATCTGTTATCAGGCAATGCAGTCGTCATGGTGCATGAGCTGCCCTGAAGTGTGATAACTCCTATGTTTCCTTCAGATACAATTCCAGCCTGCAAAACCTATCCACCCTCCTGCTGATGGGAAGTTACATGGAAATCAGGAACTATATCACCATGATCACCAGGATCCTGAGTTGTTTGGCTAAGGAGGACAGAGGCTCTTCCTGTGGCCAGTGGTCACGAATACAGGATGCATTAATTTCTTCAGTTTGCAAATTAGAATTTGCAGATCAGGTAAGACCCAGAAGAGTGTGAATTTAATGCCCCTGGACCTGTATCTGGAGCCCTGGTTGCACAGAGGCTGCTAACCAAAATGTCAGAAGTTCGAATCCACCAGCTGCTCCTTGGAAACCCTATGGGGCAGTTCTACTCTGTCCTATAGGGTCGCTATGAGTCGCAATTGACTCAACGTCAACGGGTTTGGCTTTCTTTTGGTTTGGACCTGTATCTATGTAGGAAGGCCTATGACTGGTTGGCTCACTGTTGAGTGGAATCGTCATGCTTAAGAAACACAATCAAGAAATGAGACTGGTGACCCAGTCAGTTTGGCTTTGATAAATGGCGATGGCCCCTCTACCACCCTGCTTCTGCATTTCACAAATGAATGCTGCTGTTTTACAACAGAGATGGACTGATAGAATTCAGTGCTCAACCACCATAAATAATTCTGCTAAGGTTGCTATAAATGAACATTATGAAAATCCAATCTGATTTTGTCTTGGTAACAAGGGTATACTGGAGAGTTAAATTCATGATTATGTGAATTTTTTAAAGAAATGCCCGTATCTTTAAATGATGCCGTCTTTGCTCACAGCATTTCTGAAACTCCTGTCTTTTAATTGTCTCTAGAGAACATTCTCACTCACAAAAAAATATTTTACGTTATAGTTAAACTTTCCCTTGGACTAACATTTTTTCTCCTCCGTCATTCTCTGTTAGCCTTTTTGAAAACTTCGCTTAGTTCTATCCTCTTATTTCCTCTTTCCTCATGTCAGTTGCCTGATGGGGTGTGGTGAGGCTGGCCAGGACAGGACATAAGAGGGCAGAGGCTGGAGTGGTAGGAAAAATTTGAGGCCAAGGTATTGGTCTCCCTAAAGCATATCTGGCCTTCAGACAGTCTCTCAGCTGAAAAACATGGCATCTCCTTTATTTCTACATAAGTAAGCTGTAAATTATATAGATTTAAAGTAGTTAAGCTAACTTTTCTTTTCTTTTTTTTTTTTGCTTTTTTGTTTCTCCTTATCAGGAAGAAATCATTGATTCTGTTCTTATGCTTAGTGACCTCCTAAGCTTCCCTAATAAGGTAAGTTCTATTTCTTTCCAAGTGTATTTTCTACTTTTTTGCATAATTATGAGGGTGTTGATCCGTTTCTGAAGAATATATTGTTCAGAGTTATGTTTTGACACTTAGATTAGAAATAGGACTTTCTCCTAAGAATTCGTCTGAATGGCATTGCCCGTCTCAAATCATTGGTGAAGAACTTCTTTCCTAATATGTGAAATTGCAAACTCAAAGTAGAAATGAATTAAAACATGCTATAAATAATTTTGTAAAGGGAATGTTCTTTATTATTAACACATGGTATTGAATTTTCTCATGTCCATACCTTCTTTTCTTCTCAAATCTCTAGTACCCTTTCCTCCTCTTCCAGGTCATACTCTCAGAGGAGTGTCTACTGAAAATAGCACCTATGGCAAGCACTGAAATTGCACCCTGCAGGGGTGTAGTGAGGGCAATGAGCACCCAGGGGCAATCTCTAAGTTGTGCCATCAGCTTCAAGATGAATAGATGTTGATGGCAGCAACACATCAGCAGAGACGCCTTCCCCTCCTCTTGTCTGGCTGCCTCAATCAAGCACCTTTCATATTTGTGATACCTTGGAATGTTATTCTGCACTTTGTCTGGTGCCGCCTTAGACTTGCTCCTTGGGGGCAAATGCCCCACTCTCCTCCCCCACTCATACACACCTCCGTGTCTCCCATGCTTGAGGAAGGGCGTCGGGCCATACTGGATTAATAGAAACTGATCGGTGGCGCCCTCTTCAAGTGGTACCATACCTGCCATACCTTAGATACACCTCTGACACTGCATTGCTCTTTCAGACATGAGAAGAGAGCCCTCATCTACCACAGATCTGCCGTTCTAACTGTAGCCATACCTGTCTTCCACGTCCACACTCTGTTATATCATGGAAGGAGTTTCCCTGCTCCCAGCAAGAATCCATCCCTCTGCTTGTGCTCAGCATCCCATCCAGGCCATTCCATTGTACCTCATTCTGTGTGACCAGTGCCCTCTGGAGTTGTGCAGTGCCCAGGCTGCGTGGCCGCAGGTGGTGGTTCTGCCTCCTGTCCCATTCTGCCTTCTCCAGGACTTCTCTCCTTTAGTTTACCACTCTCTTTGCTGTATCTTCCATCTCTCCCTCCCTGCTTAGTGATCCCCAACGTGTTTACCATCTCACTTCTTCAAAACGAAACTCCTCACTAAAAACTATACCCTCTTCCAGATACCACCTCGTCTCTATGCTCCACTTTACAACAAAACATTTGGAAAGTGAGTTCTGTGCTTACGTGGTCTATACTTGCTCTTTCTTGTGCATTTTTAAACTATCAAAATCTGGTTTCCGTCTCCATCTAAACACTGAAACTGAGCCATCAATGTCATTCAAAAGCTCTGTGTTGCCACGGTCACCAGACACCCTCTTTCCTCACTGCTCTTCCCCTCTCAGTAACATTCTGTGGGTGCTCACCCTCCTTTTCGGAGTGTGTCTCTTCTCATGGTTTCATAGCACCAGTTTCCTGGTTAGTTTCAAGTGACCATTGCTGGCTCCTCCTATTCTCCCTCACCTTTCAGTGCTAAGTTCAGTTTATTCTAGAGCAATTTGTACAAGACTTTGTTAAAGTACTTTAACACCTTTGATTTATAATTATATTTTGGACATCTCTTTTCCAATTGTAGATTACCTAGCCTGTTAAGATCACATGCACTATTTTAGTTAAAGTAATGTTAACAGCTATAACAGATAAACCCTGAAATATGACAGAAGTTTATTGCCCCATTTACATGTAGCTGTTCAGTGGGTCATCTCCCACATGGTGATTCAGGGACTCAGGCTCCTTTCATCTCATGTCTCCACTATGTGACTTCCTAAGCTGGGGGGATAGAGCATGGAGAGGGCACACTCACTTGTAGATAATGTTGCCCCCTGGTGGCATACACTTCACTCACCTTCACGAGTGAGAATTGGTCACATGGCCACACCTGACTCAAAGAGACCTGGAAAAAGGAATCACTTCCCAGCAATGACCCTAGACAAGGGCCGGGGGCATGGATCTGAGGGGGAGCCAGCCATCTCTGCTCCAGGTCCCTTTCTCATGCATCTTTGGATCCCAGGCTTGGCCACAATTCTTAACTCAGAGGGGCAGGTAAAATTGAACATGATTGCCATTTACAAAGTACCATTTCTGATATTTTTGGTTAAAAAACAATGGCCAGTGTAAAGAGAGCAAATGTGTTCTTTAAAGCACTTGTTTTGTTTTGGATAAAAGATCATTCTTTCAATTTTGGGCTCTGTTTTGATGATAAGTTACCTTATCCATGGGCCTTTATTAGTAGTTTTACTGTATTTCCCAATAGTTTAATTTTGTTGTTGGTGAAAAGCTTGATTTTAGAAGGTATTTCTAAGGCATATTTTGGTCAAACAAGCATGACCATCAGGAGATTGAATCTTAATTTCATTTGTATATCATTTGATTAGTCCCTGGGTGGTGCAAATGGTTAAGCGCTGGGCTACTAGCTAAAAGGTTGGTGGTTCAAACCCACCCAGAGGTGCCTTGGAAGACAAGCCTGGAGATCTGTTTCTGAAAGGTCACAGCCTTGAAAACCCTATAGAACACAGTTCTACTCAGACACGCATGGGGTCGCCATGAGTCAGAATTGACTTTATGGCAACTAACAGCAACAACAATCATTTGATTGGACACATATTTACTTAGTACCTGCTAAAAACCAAAAACCCGTTGCCGTCAAGTGGATTCTGACTCATAGCGACCCTATAGGACAGAATAGAACTGTCCCATAGGGTTTCCAAGGAGCGCCTGGTGGATTCAAACTCCCAGCCTTTTGGTTAGCAGCTGTACGCTTAACCACTATGCCACCAGGGTTTCCTTAGTACCTGCTAGGAGCTACTAAAAGAGTCCCTAGGTGGTGCAAATGGTTAATACGCCCAGCCACTAACCTAAAGGTTGATGGTTTGGATCCACCCGAAGGCACCCAGATCCACCCAGAGGCCTGGAGATCTGCTGTTGAAATGTCACAGCCATGAAAACCCTATGGAGCGCGGTTTTACTCTGACACATATGGGGTTGCCAGGAGTCAGAATTGACTGGACGGCAACTGGTGATTAAGACATACTAAGCCACAAAGACGAAAAAGATTTAGTCCTTGTCTTTCAGGAACTGGTGAATGAAGTTAAATGGCTATAAAGTTCAATAAATGCTATGTTCTGTAATTAGGAGAATGACAAAATTCTGAAGAAACACAAACAATAGTGCAGCTAACTCTGTCTGGTGGATGTTTGAAGTTGGTTTTAAAAGATAAGTAGGAAAGAAGCATTATCAATTTGTTGGACGTGATAATGGCACTGTAGGCATATTTTTAGAAAGAGTCCTCATCTATTAGTGATATGTACTAAAATATTCATGGATAAAAACAATGTCTGAGACTTGCTTTAGAATATTATTTTTAAATTTAATTGAGGGTTAGAAGAAAAAATAATTGCCAATGAAGGACAATTGTTAACGTTGGATGATGGGCATATCATACTACTCTACTACTTGTCTGCTTTTATGTATGTTTGAAAATGGTCTATATTGAATTTTAAGAGAGAATGAGAAAGTAGATCTTGCTAGGCAAAACAGGGTAAAGGTATCCAAGGTAGAGGGATTATTATGCACTATGTAAAGACCTCAATTATTTGAGAACAATCAGAGGTTCAATGTGGCTTGAGAATAGAATGTATATGGGCAGTGGGAAGAGAGAAGATTGTAAAAATAGGTTGGAGAAGATTTGTGAAATTCTTGGGGCTCAAACCAAATAACATTTTAAAGCATAAAGGACTTTGTTAGATATCATTTAATTTAATTTGATCATTTCTGGATCTGGAACCTGAACATCAGAGAGCCAATTGTTACATATGAAGTTGGCCGATAAAAATTGGCCAGCTAGAGACCAAACCTGGACTTGAATCCAGTTCTCTTGAACCCTAATTCAGTAATGTGAAAAAATAAAGAGAACCTGCATTCTTCTTAATTCCCAATAATAAAAGGATACAAGTATAAGTATCATGTCTGATGAAACAGTTTACTTATACCTTTTCTTTTCATGTAGTTAACCTTCAGGAGCGCAGTTCTTATCCTCAAATACACACGGATGCTCCTTGCTCAAAGCCGGCTGTCTGGAAGGTTTGTGATTGACAGACGACTCATGTCGAACCTTATCTTCCTCATATCTGGAGTCTTGGAAGTATCTGACCAAGAAAAATCAAGTAATGTGGACTATCTACAAGAAGAAGGAATTAAAGTCATCTCAGACTTATTGTTAGTAAGTCACACTTTTTCTTCATCCATGAAAAGGCAACTGTTTCTCTTGCTGCGGAAATTAACTGGTATTTGTAATCACTATTTAAAAATAAAAATATAATCAGTTCCTGAAGTACATTATTACTATTCTGGGTGGTAGCTTGGTATTTAGAAATATTCATTTTGAATTTTAAGTGTTCAATGGTAATAAAGTTTCCAATGAATCTTTGTTTCTGTGCCATTTTTATTTATTTATTTTTGTTCGATTGTTTGTTTTTGTTTTCAGTGGATTTTCATTTGGGAGATTTGGGGCAACGTTTGACTTAGTAACATTATTTCTTAGGACATCTTCTGTTTTTGAGGAATGATGTAAAGTAACACAAATAATTTCTCACCTGCATTAATTTAAAAAGTGGCCCTCTGATATATAACTGTTAAAAAAAAAAGTACAGAAGTTTATTTCATCTGTTTCTACTGCAGTAACTATGGGAAATGGTCTTAGTGATTTTTTTTTTTCTTTCACCTTGTGAAATGGCTAATGCTTTCAAGAAGCAGCATGTTAGTAGACAGTGCTTTTGTTACTGCTCCCCTACCCGTTTATCATTGCTCTCCATTTGGGGCTGCTGGCTTATTTAACTGATAGTTACTGTAATATTTGGGAAATTAAAAAATAAATAAAGACCGTATCTGAATCTGATCATCACAATCACCATTATCAATTAATACATTTAAAAAATTTTTATTACATACCTGTGCAATTTATTGCAAACTGTGCTCATGTTTACTGTCGAGTTTCCATGTTTTAAAAATAATCATGGTATTAAAACTCTGCTTTGACTGGTGAAGACCCCCCCTCCAGGAAGCATAGAAGTTGCTATAAAATAAATAAAACGTCACAAAAAGAGGCACCACAACAAAAGAAAACCATTCGTGTTTGACTATTATTTGCCATTATATCGTGACATCAAAATCTTTGCTCAGGCAAATGAATCCAAACTAATTTGAGACTAATGACCTTTTCAATTAGTTTTCATGCCTCCCCTGGTTCTGGATTTGAGAACCTTTACCCGCTTGTCCTGTAAACGCTTAAATCTGCCATGCTCTTTGTTTCAGAGCTCTCTCTCTGTGAGCAGCGAGCTTCAGCTCCACATTGGCACTGGACAGATGGAATTCCGGGTCTGCCTTCATTACAGTCTTCAGAACACTGTCCAGAGTATTGGCTCTGTCCAGGTTCACTTACCCAGTGACCTAGCTGAGCAGAGTCTTGATGGGACAGACATTCAGAACCCATGCTATATCAGTCAACTCATACTCTTCAAAAATAATCCATATCCAAGGGGACGAGCTCCTGGTCAGGTACAACGTGTCAGGTGGCCTGTCACTTCTGATGACCGTTTCAAATTTGCAATAACTGTGGTTTGATGATAAAAAGAGAGATTAGGTTGGCATGTTTGCACTTGTTTTTTAGTTCCAAGAAAGGGGTCTCTTAGAATGTTTTGCTGTCTACACTTATCTTGGAAGATCACAGTTTCTCCAGAAAATATTAACAAAATTAGGTATCATTGGCATCCCACTCAGTATTTCTTGTGGGGACTTTTAAATCCATTGTCATAGAGTAAAACAGTGGGAATAGGTTGGAGTATGTGATACAATGATTTTGCCAAACACTGTGGTCAGTGATCTCTTGGACACATTAACTTATTTCTGAAATCCAATGAAAAGTTCAAACTGAGTGAAACTTGAGAAGGGGGATTACTGTGGACCTACTAGGACTGATCTCTTTTTTTCCATTCTAACCTGAAAGGCTAAGCTGAACCACTAAGGAAGGCCACTGGGGCCTTGGGAGGTTGAGCAGGAGAGGGGACCAGAGTCCACAGGGGAGGTTAGGATGGAGATGTTGGGATTGTCCCAGCTGCTTGGTGATGTTGTGAACATCTGCTTCACCTTCTACATTCAGAAACCACATGAACAATCCCAGAATTCCCATGAATTCCCAGAGGGCAAAGTGTGGGTCTTCTAAATCTCTGTGCCCCCGTCCTGTTCTGGAGTCCCTGACTCATTGAGCACTCCATAAATGTCTGATGAATGAATACACAAATTAATGATGTACATCTTATTTATGTCTCCATTTTGGTCAAAAAGTCCTCAGCTTATGAAGCGTCCTTTTTTTTTTTTTTTTTAAGGGAAAAAGAAATGTCTAATCAGTATATGATAACAATTCAACCTAACAAAAGCAATAAAGAAATGGAAATTAAAATAAAGTGGGTTGTTTTTAACTTGCAAAAGTACAATCCTTTGAAAATACCACTTGTGGAGGTGTAGCCAGCTAACCAATGTGTCAGTTGGCATAACCTTTCTGATAAGCACTTTATCACTAGCTACCAAGAGTCTCAAAAATCTGGACCCACCCTAGAGATCTACACCAAGGAAATGAGAAAAGATTTATTCAAACAAAACATTTTATTTTATTTATTTATTCAAAACAACATTATTTATGATAACCAAAATGGAAACGTACCTAATGTTCAAAATAGGGCAACTTCACTGATTATTTATATAAATTACAATAATTCATATACAGCCAAGTAAAGTTACCCAAATAAAGAACTTTTAGTGGCTTTGGAAATTTTATGCAAAAATATAAGACACTGAATTATCTGCTTAGTATGATCTCAGTGCAGAGAAAATCTTTAAAAAACAACATCCCCAAATATGATTTCTCTGAGCAATGAGATTATATGCAACTATTCTTCATTCTTCTCTATACCTTCCCGATTTTCCACAATGAGCAGGTATTTCTTTTCATATGAGTTTTTAAAGTGCAAAATCAAATAAAAATACTTTTTAAAACTTTGAAAATTATTAATTTTAGTAAGAGGAAGAAAAGGAAAGAATTAAAGTCACCTCAAATCCTGCTATCCCAACGAGTAAAACTATTTTCTGTGTTACCTTCTAATTTTTGCCATCACCTACATACCTTATTTTTTCACAAATAGTGTGCCCATGTAAATAACATGCCCACACATATAATGCGTATAGTGAGCTTTGGAAAATAACGTGCAAAGGGGTTGCACGGTTGGCAAAAAAAACTGTAGAGCACATTATTTATGTAAAAATACAACACTTCTATATAATTGTAATAGTAAGCATCACTCTCCTCTGGTTTTCTGCTTTCTCGCTTAAGTCAGCTGTGTGTCATCATTTTCTCTGAGATGTCGCTTGTCTTTGTAGGTTGGTGGAGCTGTGGGTCTCAGCCTCTACGACTGCTCCAGCAGACAGCCCATCAGCAGACACTGGCTACAGACGCCCGTGACCGTGGAGTTCGGGGAGGAAGACGACCTTGTAAGGAAAGCCCCCCAGTCATCGTTGCTTCATTGAGGCTACACTGGCTGGTTGTTAACACATCGCTTTTCTAAAAACAAATCTTGCTTAATTTGTTTCCCTTGATGACAGAATAACAGAAGAAATAATACAACATTTCTATTGCCTCGGGATGAAATGAATTTTCATCAGTTCATCGGACTTCCTGAAAACTCCCAGGAATCTCTACAGATAAGAATCAAATTTTCTAAGACCATCACAAGAGCTTTTCCCATAATGCTGCTAGTAAGGTATGGTGTGGGATAGTAGTGACCATGGTTGTGGCACCAGAGCGTGGGATGTCATCCTTAAGAATGTTTGTGGAAAAAACTAGTGAATTCAATTGCATTCTTAAAGCAATAATGTGGCACATTATCTGAAGAAATTATGTTATGTATTTAACTATCCATTGAATGAGTTCCCACTTTGTTTTTCGAGACTGTACTCTTGCCTGTTAAGTATATTGGAGTGAGAAACACCTGAATTGTCAGTAATAATATATATCGTCTTAGTTAAGAATCTAGTTCCCTCTGAAGGAGCCCTCTCAGCAGTGGTTAAGTGCTCAGCTGCTAACTGCAAGGTCGGGGGTTCGAAAGATGTGACAATCTGCTTCCATAAAGATCTACAGCCTTGGTAACCCTGTGGGGCAGTTCTACTCTGTCCTATAGGGTCGCTATGACTCAGTGGCAATGGGTTTGGTTTTTGGGGGTTAGTCCAGAATTTTTCGTTTTTTTTTCAAAAGGAGAAAATGTATTCAAACTGTAGTATCTAAGGAGACTTGATAAATTAATCATCCTTCTCAGTGATGTTAAGGTCATGAGACTTGTGTGGGTCCCATTTTATAACTAAACTACATAGGAAGCCTAAAAAATGAATATTGAAAAAAGAGTCTTCTGAGTCATACATCGAAAGTACTAAGGAACCACCAGTTTTTAGAGTGTGTGGTAGGGCTGGATGGACAAAAGATTGGAGAGGTGCGACCCAGGCCATTTCTCTTCTCTGACTTCTCGTGTATTTATCTGATGAAAACTTAAGCCATCCCACCGCTCCTGCTTCTTTGGGTGGGCATCTCAACTAGATTGAGGGGTACTCGTGAGCAAGGACCGTATCTTACACAGTGGTAATATCCACACAGGGTTGATCTTAATCAGTACTTGTTGACTTGAGTCCTTCCAGCATCTGAGCTAGTCCATTAGATGTCCGAAAAGTGTCTATTTGCTTAAAGGGTTTGAATTTTTAACACAGTTATTTAGTTCGCATGCAAAAAGGTGAATTGATTTTGACTGATTTCTTAATCTAACTGTTTTGTGTTTACTATCTTTCATGTCTCAGTTCCCAACTTTGCTAGCAGGTCATCGTAAAGAGGGAGTGTGAGTGCTGTAGTGTCCCACCTGCTGAACCATGTGGGGTTATGTTGTTCCTTTTATTCCTACAAGCTGTGCTGGTTTAGTTGTTCTTGATTTTTACTAAAAATTCTGTTTTTATGCAATGAGGAATGAAAAGTGTTATATAGGAATATTTATTAACCAAGTCGTACAGTAGAATAAGACTATTGCCCCTTTTTATCTCAGGCTGCCTCCTTGCAGTGAAAACAGTGTTTTGCACAAAATTGTATGACTAAAGTCTTTGAGATAACAAACTAGACGTCACAACTTCCTTTTATCTCCTAGATTCTCCAAGAAACCAACTCCCTCTGATTTTCTGGTGAAACAGGTCTACTTATGGGATGAGCAAATTGTACAGATTTACATACCTGCTTTTTCACTCGAAGGTCAGTGGGAAAGAGACGTTTGAACTTTCAATTCTACTCATGTGTTGAAAATACCTATTATAACATACATTTGCATAGTGGCATTTTTCTTTATTCATCATGAAAACAACAAAATGATCTCTTTGCCTGCTTATAGACAAACTGTTCAGTAATAGACAATAAATAGAAAATAGAGTGTAATCCTTGCGCTGAGGTGGGTACTGGGGACAAATATGCTACTCATGCAGCCCGCGCCAATCTCTCCAGCAGCTGCATTGCCAGCAGCCTCTCCTACCATCGCCCGAATTCCCATCACCCCAGCATGCGTTTCCCAGGACGTCAGCTCGTCCTTGAATTTCTGCTTTGCACAGCTCTTGCCCGTGCCCTCCCCTGCGTTTCATCAAACTGACCTCTGCTAATCTCGAAACCCAACTTTCACCTCCTTTGGCAGGCCTTCGCTGGCCCCCAGAGTAATTCATGTGCCCTTCTCGGCTATGATGGCACTTCATGCTGGCCTCTCTGATTTACTGTCTTTGCTCCCCACTGGAGGTCAGGGACCTGCGCTTCCTAGGCTGTCTCTGTATCTCAGGTATAAACAGAGATAAGAGGACCTCCTCTGCCTCTCCCTCACTACCAGCCTGTGGTGGACAGAGGGTCCGCTCTGGGGAGGGCAGACATGCACTCAGTTCCGAGTTGTACCTGATGAACAGTCTGGCCCTGGCTGCTTAGGCTCCTGAGCCTCAGTGTCCTCCCCTGAGAAGCAGGTGCCAGGGGTCTAAGTTCTTGAGTGAATTCACACAGGACTAATAAGTACAGGTGTTGCAAGCTGATCTCCAGACTGTCAGAGGAATGCACCAGCCCTGTATTCCCCACCTTCCACCTTTGTACTGAGATGTAGCATTCTTCCTCTGAAAATGAATCACTTTGTAGTTTTCTCATTTATTTAAAAAACCAGTTAAACTGTGTTTCTAATCAAATTCAAATTTTCAGTGGCAATTTTACAAATTTTGTGCTTGATACGTTCTTTCTCCAACAACTTTTTTTGGTGAAAAATTTCAAACTGAGGGTAATGTCTAAAGAATGTACAACAAACACCTGTATACCTTTCATCTAGATGCATGATTTGTTGACATTTTACCACATTTGCTTTATCTGTGTGTGGGTTTTTTGGAGAGCTGAACCTTTTCAGAGAAAATTGCAGACACCTTGACACTTCACTCCTAAATACTTCAAAATGCATCTTGTAAGAACAAGGCCATTTTCCTATGTCACTCAGTGCCATTCCCATACCTAAAAAAAAAAAAAAACAAAAAACCTAACATTCATTCAAGAATAGCATCTACTATGCACTCCATATTAAATTTTTGCAATTATCCCCCCAAATGACTTCTATAGCTCTTTACATTTTTATTCAGGATTAAGTAAAAATGCATATAATACATTGCATTGCCATGTCTTTTTAGTCTCCTTCCTTAACATCTAGAACACGCTCACCTTTTTTTTCCTTTTTTTCTTGACATTAACATTTTTTCCGAGTCCAGGTCAGTTATTGTTTTAATGTCTCACAGCCTGGGTTTGTCTGATGGTTTCCTCATGATAAATTTCAGTTTTCACTAGTTGGTCAAGATACTGCATAGGCAGTGCTGTGAACTTCTTATAGAGTAACATCGCGAGAACATAATGTCACATTATAGGTGAGGCCTGGTGGTGAACTGGTTAAGCTCTTTGCTGCTAACTGAACCATCAACGGTTCGAACCCACCAGCCGCTCTGTAGGAGAAAGAGGTGGCAGTCTGCTTCTGTAATGATTACAGCCTTGAAAACCCTATGGGGCAGTTCTACTCTGTCCTATAGGGTAGCTTGAGTTGGAATTGACTCGAAGGCAACAGGTTGTTTTTTTTTTTTAATAGGTCAGGTTAAGTTTGGTAATTTGGCACACAAGGAAGTGCTGGAAACACTGTTTTCCTTCCCAAATAGTCTGTCATTCTCAAATGAAAATCTGCATTCAGGGAGCTTTGACCAGATATAGTTAATTTACAATTGAAATGCTGCTGGGAGAGGAAACGGTCAGATTGAAGGCTCTGTGCTCTTTCAATCCCTGCCATCTCCTACTTAAGGTTCCGGTCTGTTACTTGGATACTTGTCTGCTACTCTGTCTGCATTTGAAATGGATGATGGCTTTCTGCCAAGTTCAGGTTGTTGTTGTTGTTTTTCTTTCTATTTTTAGATACCAGCTCGGGTTACTTGGCCTTATTAGATGCTGACTATGACAGAACACCTCCAAACAAATATTTAGCTAAAGCGGTGAACTACACCGTAGATTTCCGGTGGATCCAGTGTCTGTTTTGGGATAAGAGGGAGTGGAAATCTAGCACCTTCCCTCCACAACCAGGAACTTTTCCAGAAAAGGTTAACTGCAGGTATAGACATATGGTTCAGAAAGAATCTGGGATTTTAGTCTGTGACTACATTTTCTTCTGCATCTGGCCCATCCCCTGGATCCTTTCCCTGAATCTTGTCCTCCTATAAAAAGAAAAAGGAGCAACCTTAGTTTGTACAACTCCAACCATGTGTGCCTTTTGTTATATACGACAAGTTAGCTACCATCAAGTCAGCCCTGACTCATGACGACCCCATGCACAATGAAATGAAATGCTGCCCAGTCCTGTGCCATCCCCGTGATCAGCTGCAGATCACACCATTGTGATCCATGGAGTTATCATTGGCTGATTTTTGGAAGTAGATCACCAGGCCTTTCTTCCTAGTCCATCTTAGTCTAGCAGCACACGAGCCACCACTACACTACGTGTGGTGGCTACACACAAGGTGCCTTGGCCAAGAATCAAACCCGGGTCCCCCACATGGGAGGCGAGAATTCTATCGTTGAACCGCCACTGCCGGCAAGGGCCTCTGAGACCCTCTTATTGACATGTCTTGTCTGCAAGTCTTGGTTTGCCTCTTCTGCTGTAGCCTCCCAGGTGCCAGTTCTGGATTATTTAAGTGCTCTTGACACTCACCCCATCCCCATGGGAACTGACATGTTAATTGGTGTTTAGCAAATGTCTGTTGAAGGAATGCATCGATAGATGGATGCTAGTGCTCTGGATTGGTAGGTTGTGTCATTGTAGAAGTCGATACTCTTTAGGATTATGTAGTTGTAGACAGGTGTTGGGACCTCTCTTCTGTTTCCCACCACGTACCTGACTTCTTCACCTCATTGCGGGGTGGGGGGTTGTGAAGGTGAATTTTATGATACAAGAAAAGTCTCTACACAGACTATGGGCAAACTTCTCAGCAATGTTTGGATATATCAGCCATGTCACTAAATTAGAAATTCTTTATTATCTAGCCATAAAACTGACAATTCTATTAGGGGCCCAGGTCATTCATTTTTGTTATTGTCTTTTCATAAGAATAGAGAATTAACTAATTATTATGCATATTTAGAAATAGAAATAATAATTTTTCTTAAGAAGAATTAATCCATAAGGAATTGTACTTCATGGTTGCCTTTTAGGAGTCCAATATGTCCACAGCATATCATACACCAGAGTTATTTATAAACCATTAATTGCTTTGCTTATACGGTATTCTTAAATTTACATGATGCCATTGCTAGAACACACTGGAACCTACTGGTAGTGGTCCGGTATTTCACTTCAGTATTAAATTATTCGCTATTCCATTAATCCATCATTCATTCACTATTACATACCACTCTCTGCTAGACACTTTTCTATGAACAGGGGTACAGTATGGGGCCCTGAGCAGCAATGAATAAGGGAAAGATAGGTTTTATCAAAAAATGACAGACTTGATGGTGATTGTCATGGTAGTAGCTACCAATTGTAGGCTATTTATAATGCCAGAGACTGGCATTTAGGAAAAAGGCTAACACAGGTTGGCTAGTTGACAAGGTCGGTCCACAACTAAGTTGCAATTTGAACCTGAGACTCTGATTCTAAAGATTCAAGCTGAACTGTGGAGAGGGCTGTAACAGAGATGTGTGCAATACACAAGGAAGTCTAAGGCGAACACCTAGTGTCTCAAATAGTGAAGAGGACAGCCTCAGGAGAACTGTGTGCTCAAAGGCTCAGAGGGAAAGATGTGGGGTATGTCCTGAGAACACAGTCCCTCATTTCTAACTTAGGTTTTAGCTGAATTCTTTAAACTGAGTTTGAATCATAAAGCTATAGTTATTGGAATTTGTCTTCCTTTTTTTAAGCAGTGCCCAATCATATGGTGAACAATTGCTGTCACCACAGATTTGTTCATCTTCCTAATCAGTATTTCTCTTCCAGCTATGATCGCCTCACAGCATTCAGTCTTGTGAGAAGAAAGCTGAACACCAGTTTTGAAATGAGCGACATTTCTAAGTTACAGAGGTAAGTTCCATTGTCTGAATCAAAACAAAAATAAAGTAGATACTCAAGTTTAATTCAGCAGATGCTTGAAATTCATGTTACTTACTATCATTTTATTTTTTGGAATATTCATAATTAAAGATAATTACCTTTAAATATTAAACAGGTATCTATCTGTATCTCTCTACCTATACTTACATTCACTGAAAGGAGATGTATAAACTCCCAAAAAGTCAGCACAATTTTCTTACTTTTAAGCTTAGTTTTAGTTCAGTGTGAATTTGATTAATCACTATTGATTGGGTTAATACCTACAGTGATGATACTGCCTGATTTACCCGTTCCGGCTTGTGACTATTGTCTTAGCCTAATTCTTAATAGCTCCTTCGTTCTCTCTCAAGTGTCTGATTTTAGATGATAAATTAAAAATTCACCCTACTTTTATAGTCATTGTTTTATGTGGAACAAATATATTTAGATTCTGGAATGTACGTAAACAGAGTGTAAGCTCTATGCAGACAGGAATCTTCTCCATCTTATTCATCAATGTAGCCCCACACTTAGTACAGCGCTTGGCCTGTAGCAGGTATTTAGTACATATTTACTTAACGAATATTGATGTCAGAGTCTGCATTTTCTCATGAGTGTTGAGTGTTAAGTTTTTCTCGCCCATATTTATGTACTATATTTTTACTCAAATTACAAGTACCTTCGACCTTCATTTGTCAACCTCTCCCTCCTCTAGAGTGGTTGGCAAATGAACATAGAAGGCACGCATTATTTGAGTAAAAATATAGTAATAGGGAATTCTACCTTAGTTTATTATTTCATAAATCATGAAGAGTTGATTGTTTTGTAGACTAGTAAGTGGATCAAATAATTACTAAGACAGACATGAATCATTAATGCTGCAGATGCTGACCAGTGAAGGTCATCAGCAATCTAGTGGTCCACTCAGGCATTGATACCACTGAGGGTAGAAGCCATTGGGTGGGCCCACACTGGGGGTGTCCAGACAAAAGTAACACTTGAAGTCATGCAGAGGCAGTGGCATTCTGGGAGATCCAGCCAGAATCTAGGAAGTTCCAGGGCCTTAATGCAGGCCTAAGAAGAAGGGAAGGCTGGAGCTAGGCAAGTTGTGAGCACTCTGCCAAGCTGACGGGATGGGGCTAAGGACAAGGCTCTGTCCTCATGTAGAAGAAGCATGCCAGGCAAAGAAGCTAAGACTGGAGCCTAGACCTTAGATGGAGCCAAAGTGGCAGGGATGAGAAGGACAACATCCTCATTCAACGTGGGCCCCCAGTGCCTACCCCTGAAAATCCCATCAAATGTCCACAAGACTCAATTCCAAGAAGAACACTGTATCAGGGTTAGAGTGCCGGCACAAGTGACTTGATGGGACCCCATTCTGTGGGTCTGCAGGGGTTCAGTGATCTCTCCTACAAGCCAGAGCTGGTGTCTAGGAACAGAAGGTGATTATAGCCTGCAAATAGAGAGCAAGCAGCTGCACCTGCAGGAGCAGGTAGGGTGCAGAGGCTGGGTACCAGTAACATCTGATAGCCTGTTCTGCTGGGAGGAAAAGAAGGGAGGGAGGGAGGTAAAGAACGTTTATTGCACCTGCCAGCTTGAGGCATTTTATATATATTAACTGATCTTTATAATAATCTAGTGAGATCGTGTTTTTGTCCATATTTCATAAAGAAATTTCCTCAGAGAGGAGGCGATTAGCTTAGGATGGCATGGCTTTCAGATGTCAGAGCTGGTCCTTCAGAAGCTTCCTTTGTTTCCAGAATCCCTGCTCTTCGATGATGGTCGCTGAACCACAGCGAAGCTCTATGTCTTCAAAAGCCCTTTTCAATCAGCCTCTAGCACCTTCTCCCATAACCAAAAAACCAAAACCAAACCTATTGCCATTAAGTCAATTCTGACTCATAGCGACCCTATAGGACAGAGTAGAACTGCCCCATATGTTTCCAAGGAGTGGCTGGTGGATTTTAATTGCCAACCTTTTAGTTAGCAGCGAAGCTCCTAACCACAATGCCACCAGGACTCCCCTTCTCCTATGAGGGGCTCAAACCAGTCCAAGATGCCCCAAGGGGGACAGATGCTGCTCCACTGCCTCCATCTTTCTCTCCTTGACCACTTTCCCGGACAACAATCTTCTCTCCTCCCTTCCCTCAACTCTTCTCTCCCATTTACACAGCAAGAGTTCAAAAACAGAGGACCAGAAAGGGACTTATCTGTGTGGGGTTGGGGGAGCAGTCAGTCTTCTCGTAAATATTTATTTTCATGAATAATTTACTTTTTATCTCTCTCCTTTTATTTACAGTCACCCAGAAAACCTGATTCCCAGTATTTTCATTGTGCTTTTTATGATTTTTTACGCATTTTTGGTTACTAAAAGCAAACATGTAGATCATCATGAAAAAAAGAAAACTGGTTACATTTTTCTGCAAGAAAGCCCCTCACCAGACCAACAGCTGTATGCAGTGGTTATTGACACAGGCTTTCGTGCTCCAGCCCAGCTGACCGCAAAGGTAACCATGGGCGTCTTAAGAAACGCTACCTGGCTGTCTCTGTAGGGTGTTGACAGGTGTGAGTACAGGCACCAGAAATGCATGATTTGAAAGTTTAACAAAATTGCTGAATGTATGGTTAAGATAAATACATCAAAGGCATCTCTATGTAACAGCAATAACCAATTAGACCACATAATAGCAAACAAGAGCCTCTTCATCACAGCCACAAAATGATGAGGTGCCTAGAAATAAATCCACCAGTTACAAGACCATCATGGAGAAAATTTACCAAATATACACAAAAAATCTAAATAATTAAAGAGCTGTATTTTTCATGGATGGAAAAACTAATTTTCCCATGTTGATTTTTCCCAAATTATAATATTGATATAATGATAATAGCAAATGTCAATTGGGGCTTTGCTACATGCCATTTTATTAATCCTCAAAAAACCCGATGAGTAAGTTCATTAATACATCCACCTTACAAATGAAAAACTAAGGCATAAAGAGGTTAAATTCAGTGAAATGCCAATCAAGTTCCACGATGTTTCATTGAACTTGAAAAACTAATTCTAAAATGCCTGTGGAAAAATAAAGTTCCAAGAATAGTAATGAAGCGAAGAACAAGGCAGGCACTTCCCCGACTCTACTCCCAGGCTTGCTTTGAAGTGATAGTAACTAGATAATGCAGAGTTGTCAGAGGACTGACCAACAGATTCTTGGAACATATTGGAGATCCCAGAACCAACATGCGCACGTGAGCAAGCCTTCGAGACCAGAGGGGAATGGATGAACTGTTCAATAAAATGTTTTGAGACACTGGGTTTCCTTGTGTGAAAGGGTAACATTTGATCTTCACTTCTCATTATACACCAAAATAAACTCAAAAGGTTAGAGAACTAACTGAAAAGCCAAATTGAAAAACTACTGAAAGACAATATATACTCTGGGGTGGGGAAGGATTCCAAAAACGAGAAATGAATAAATACCTTTCTTACATGAGAGACTGATCAATTACATTAAAACTATAAATTTCTGTACAAAAAAAGACCAGTAAGGGGTGACAAGTCCAGCCCCAGACAGGGAACGTGCATTTACAGGGTGAGTTGTACCAACGTAGGGGTGCAGTGGACTCACCCTGCACCCTGGCCCAGCCCCAGGGTCCGACGGTCCTCCAGGGCCCCTCCTCCTTCTGAAAGGAGGAGGATCATCCACCCCACTGTTGTGTTCTCTGGCCCATAGGAGAAAAAGGAATGTCCTAGAGAATCTGAGTTGGGCTGTAGCTTTTCTAGATAAATGCGTGAAAACCCAGTCCACCCTCCCAGGCACGACTCCGCTGCCCTCCTCTGTGCTGTGCCACCCTCGGCCCTCGACTCCACGCTGGGGCACACTGTGCCCTCGAGGGTGGACTTACAAAGGGAAACTGGGAGCAAGTGTAAGGACACCCCCGACCCAGCATAATCTAGTTTGTTATGGCAAATATTTTGAACTCTCACCCCTGTGTCTTTGTTTTGTGAGGTTTACATTGTTTTATACGGTGAAAATGGACTTTCAGGAACCAAAGAGCTTTACTGTCCAGAGAAGCCCCTGTTTGAAAGGAATTCCAGGCACACCTTTATACTGAGGTATTCTGAAACATTTTGACTGCCTTATTGGGGAAAGAGAACCAATCAGAATTAATGTACCCTTATTACAAATCCAAAAACGTAGAAATATGTAACATTAGTTTCTAATGGGGACCATCAGTATACATACAGACTATTTTATACTTTCAGAGTTTGTTATTTGGAATAGATTGGTGAAGAAGGGACGAGAGATGGGAGGGAGGGAGGGAAGAGAGAGAGACTGAATTATTGATTCTACATGCTAGTCAGAGTTTATAATCACAGTATTTTCTGTGTCATTAAACCTGCTTGAATTGCTTGGGTTCATCCCAAACTCAGAAGAGCAAGTTCACATAGCAGCACAAAGATGGTGGGTCTGGGGAAGAGGGATAATTTATCAAGATATGTAAATTATCTTGTATCTTAAATACAAGCACCTAATATTTTTATAAAATATGGAAAGTGCTGAACTAAAATTTTTCTTCTAGAAAATATTGTTGATAAGATTTATTGATTTAGATTCTTATGTCTTATTAATAGAATAAAGGTTAACTCAGACTAAATCATGCCAGATACAAATAAATTACTGAGATTTTGGTGAATGTGGTAAAGGGGAAATAGTAGGTGTTAAGAACCTGTATATACAGTCACACTTATTGGGGGCTTCACAGCTACCTGTTTTGACGTGATCAGAGGAGTCTTCAAGAATTAATTGTCCACCCCATGGTCATCCATGGTCCAGAGGACCTGCATATGCCACTTGGCATGAGAATTATTTATCATATGTCTGACACGCATGGGGTCACCATGAGTCAGAGTCTGCTCTACGCAACTGGTTTTATATGTTTGATCGCCCCCACTCAGACCAAACGTACCTTAAGGGCAAGAACCAGGCTTCTCTGAACCCCCAGGCTGGCCAGCCCAGCACACATTGGCTGATGAGGTGCTGTTGCGTATATCCTCAGCGTTCCTGGTCATCTTGGTCCTCTTTGGAAGATCCGCCTCTGGCACAACAACTGTGGTCCTTCTCCAGACTGGCACATCAGCCATGTGCTGGTGAAGGAGCTGCGCACTGGGCAAAGCTGGTTCTTCTCCGCGGAGTGCTGGCTTGCTGCAGGCCGAGGGGATGGAAGGGTGGAGCGGGAGCTCATCCCTCTGCACCGAGGCCTCGGCTTCCAGAAGGTAGGCCTAGATGGAGATAACCTCCCCAACATGCATACTCATTCTACTTGCAGAGTGCACTCCTTAGCACTGCCTCTTTCGCTGCAGCTACTTTTTAAAACTTGTCTAAAATTAAGTTTATTATTTATTTTCTTGGTTAGCTATCAAGATACTGGTATCTTAAATGATGCAGACATTAATGACTATCCAATGGCCTTTCCCTATTATTGATTATTGCAGTGGTGTTTTTCTTCTTTTAATTGTAAGTATAATAACATTTATGAAGGTTGTGCTTGCTGGAGGTGTGTGCTGTCCAGGGGCCTCTAATTAAAGACTCTTGGGGAACTCTCTATATATCCTGAACAACAAAATAACTGATGAACAGAAAACAGACATGATCAGGGATGGGATGGTACAGGATTGTGAAAACATCCAAAAATCACCCATAATCTCACAAACCAGCCATGAAGCTTTTCATTTTTCCATGTTCCCATCCCGTCCCTCCTTCTATACTAATGTATTTTATGCAACTGTAATAATAACGCTTGTGCATTTTGTATTTTCTAAGTTAACCTTTCAGAGTAAGTTTCTTTATGCATTTTTAAAAAAAATCATCATTTAAAGACTATGTAATGGTTCATTGTCACTATTCTTTGCTTAACTCTCCACCTATTTGGACATTTAAATTTTTCCCTTGTTTATTTCTCCATATTATAGAGAACATTGTGTTTCTGGTGAATGGTTTCTCAGGCTGCGTCTCAAACTATGATAACATATCAATGAATGTTAATATCTCCCCTGTTTTACTAGATGTTGTCATTGTGCTCTCTTGTGTTCATGCAGTATATGAGAGAGCCATGTTCACCACTTTGACGTTTTCAGGCTTGACATTGTTAGTTTAGTAAGCAGACAATAAATGAATGGTGTCTTAGTTACTTAGTGCTGCCATAACAGAAATACCACAAGTGATTGGCTTTAAAGAACAGAACTTTTTTTTCACAGTCCTGGAGGCTGAAAGTCAAAATCAGGGTCTGTGCTGTGTCAACTTGTTCCTATGAGCCTCCCTCCTAGATTTCCTAGATCCTTGGTGTTCGTTTGCTTATGGACAATCCTCACACATGGTCTGTCTTCCCCTGTGTGTTTCTCTGTGTTTATTCTGTTCTTTTTATAATTCAGAAGTGATTAGGTTTAAGATCCACCCTACTAGTATGATTTCAACTGATTGATTATATTACATTATGGGAAGTAATTACATTATATTACATTACAGAAGGCCAACTGATTTAATCACATGCAACTACTCCATGAAAACAACTAGGCCAGTGTTTAGTCAAACAAAAGGGAAACCATAGTCTAGCAAAGTTGACAGATAAAATTAACTATCCTAAATTGATTTGAGACCCAGTTTTCAATCATCCACAACATATGGAAATTCTTTAGCACCTAAAAATGAAGGCCCAAATCAACAGGGACTTTCTCTTAGATTTATTTCTGTGTAAGAATGACCATTTGGCTAGCCAAATATAACTAACAATAATAAATATAGGTGACTTGTTTTCAAACTATTTTGCTTGGCAACTTTTTGTGAGAAACCTATACTTGTTAATTTAGTAATACAGCAACACATGTGGCTATGTCCTGTGACTCAGTTGTCAGTCACGTCCTGGCCAGTTTACATAAAAAGGATATATATATATTTTTTTATTTCTGAATTTCGTTTTATTGTAAAACACGTTATATTGGTGGACGATTTTATTTTATTTTTTATTGTTGTAGTTCAAATGAAATTTACATTTCCAGTTAGTCTCCCATACAAAAATTTATACATACATTGTTGTATGACCCTAATTGCTCTCCCCATAGTGTGACAGCACACTCCTGCTTTCCACCCCTAATTCCCCATATCCATTCAACCAGCTCCTAACGCTCTTTGCCTTCCCATCTCACCTCCGGACAGAAGCTGCCTGTTTAGTCTCTTGTAACTACTTGAGCTAAAATGCACACTCCTCATGAGTATCACTTTATGTCCCACAGTCAAGTCCAATCCCTGTCTGAAGAGTTGGCCTCAGAAATTGTTTTAGTTCTGGGCTGATAGAGATTTCCAGGGTTCCTCCAGTCTCAGTCAGACCCTTAAGTCTGGTCTTCTTACTAGAATTTGAGTTCTGCACCCCACCTTTCTCCTGCTCCATCTGGGATTCTCTATTGTGTTCCCTGTCAGGGCAGTCATTGGTGGTAGCCAGGCACCATCTAGTTCTTCTGGTCTCAGGCTGATGAAGTCCCTGGTTTATGTGGCCCATTCTGTCTCTTGGGCCAGTACTTTCCTTGTGTCTTTGGTGTTCTTCATTCTCCTTTACTCCAGGTGGTTGGGACCAACTGATGCATCTTAGATGGCCGCTTGCTAGCTTTTAAGACCCCAGACGCCACTCATCAAAGTAAGATGCAGAACATTTTCTTAATAAGGTTTGTAATGCCAATTGAGCTCAATGTCCCCTGAAAGCATGGTCCCCAGACCCCTACCCCTGCTACTCTGTCCCTCAAAGTGTTTAATTGTATTCAGGAAAGTTCTTAGCTTTGGTTTAGTCCAGTTGTGCTGACTTCCCCTGTAGTGTGTGCTGTCCTTCACCTAAGATAATTTTTATCTACTATCTAGTTAATAAATAACCCTCACCCTCCCTCCACACCCTCATAACCATCATGTTTTCTTCTGTGTTTAAACTTTTTCTTGAGTTCTTACAATAGTGGTCTTATACAATATTTGTCCTTCTGTGACTGACTAAATTCACTCATCATAATGCCCTCCAGATTCCTCCATGTTGTAAGATGTTTCACGGCTTCATAGTTGTTCTTTATCATTGCATAGTATTCCATTGTGTGGATATACCATAGTTTGTTTATCCGTTCGTCCATTGATGGGCACCTAGGTTGTTTCGATCTTTTTGCTATTGTGGACAGTGCTGCAATGAACATGGGTGTTCACATATGTATTCATGTGACAGTTTTTATTTCTCTAGGATATATTCCAAGAAGTGGGATAGCTGGATCATATGGTACTTCTATTTCTAGCTTTTTAAGGAAGTGCCTAACTGATTTCCAAAATGGCTGTACCATTTTACATTCCCACCAACAGTGTATAAGTCTTCCAGTCTCTCCACAACCTCTCCAGCATTTATTATTTTGTGTTTTTTGAATTAATGCTAGCCTTGTTGGGGTGAGATGATATCTCATTGTAGTTTTGATCTGCATTTCTCTAATGGCTAATGATCATGAGCATTTCTTCATGTGTCTGTTAGCCACCTGAATATCTTTTCTGGCGAAGTGCCTGTTCATATCCTTTGTCCATTTTTAAATTGGATTATTTGTCTTTTTGTTGTTGAGGTTTTGCAGTATATTGTAGATTTTACAGATTAGACACTGATCAGATTTGTCATAGCCAAAAATTTTTTCCCAATCTGTAGGTTGTCTTTTTACTCTTTCGGTGAAATCTTTTGATGAGCGTAAGTGTTTGATTTTTAGGAGCTCCCATTTATCTAGTCTCTCTTCTAGTGCTTGTGCATTGTTACTGATGGTTCTTATTGTGTTTATGCCATGTATTAGGAATCCTAGTGTTGTCCCTATTTTTTCTTCCTTGATCTTTATTGTTTTTGACTTTATATTTAAGTTTTTTATCCATTTTGAGTTAGTTTTTATGCATGGTGCGAGGTATGGGTCTTGTTTCAGTTTTTTGCAGATGGATATCCAGTTATGCCAGCACCATTTGTTAAAGAGAGTGTCTTTTCCCCAGTTAATGGACTTTGGGCCTTTGTCTAATATCAGCTGCTCATAGGTGGAGGAATTTATGTCTGGATTCTCAATTCTATTCCATTGGTCTATGTATCTGTTGTTGTACAAATACCAGGCTGTTTTGACTACCATGGCGGTATAATAGGTTCTAAAATCAGGTAGTAGTTGTTCTTTGTGAGTAATGCTTTACTTATCCGGGACCTCTTCCCTTTCCATATGAAGTTGGTGATTTCTCTCTCCATCTCATTAAAAAATGCTGTTGTAATTTGGATCGGGATTGCATTGTATCTGTAGATTGCTTTGGGTAGAACTGACATTTTCACAATGTTGAGTCTTCCTATCCATGAGCAAGGTATGTTTTTCCACTTATTCAGGTCTCTTTTAGTTTCTTGCATTAGTGTCTTGTAGTTTTCCTTGTATAGGTCTTTTAAGTCTCTGGTTAGGTTTATTCCTAACTATTTTATCTCCTTGGGGCCTATGGTAAATGGTATTGATTTGGTGATTTCCTCTTAGAGGTTCTCTTTGTTGTTGTAGAGAAATCCAGTTGATTTTTGTATGCTTATCTTGTATCCTGAAACTTTGCTGATATCTTCTATTAGTTCCAGAAGTTTTCTTGTGGATTCTTTGGGGTTTTCTGTGTATAAGATCATATCATCTGCAAATAGAGACACTATGTCTTCTTCCCTACCAATTTGGATGCCCTGTATTTCTTTTCCTATCTTAATTACTCTGGCTAGGACCTCCAGCACAATGTTGAATAAGAGTGTGATAAAAGACATCCTTGTCTGGTTCCCGTTCTCAAGGGAAACGCTTTCAAACTCTGTCCATTTAGGATGATGTTGGCTGTTGGCTTTGTATAAATGCCCTTAATTATACTAAGGAATTTCCCTTCTATTCCTATTTTGTTGAGAGTTTTTATTGTGAATGGGTGTTGGACTTTGTCAAATGCCTTTTCTGCATTGATTGATACGATGATGTGGTTCTTGTCTTTTGTTTTATTTATGTGATGGATTACATTGATTGTTTTTCTAATGTTGAACCATCCCACATACCTGGTATAAATCCCACTTGATCATTGTGAATTTTTTTTTTTGATGTGTTGCTGAATTCTATGGGCTAGAATTTTGTTGAGGATTTTTGCATCAATGTTCATGAGGGATATTGGTCTTAATTTTCTTTTTTTGTGGTGTCTTT